TCTTGTCAACAAATTATTATGTCATCATGCTTGAATTCGATGTCTGTTGCTCAATACTTCTTTCTCTCTCTCTCTTTCTCATTATCATACTGAATACTTTCTATCCGTATTTCTTTCTCTCTCGACCCCCCAACCCCCTCTCTCTCTCTCTCTCTCTCTCTCTCTCTCTCCTCCCCTCCTCCCCCTCATTGCATCATATTTACATATATATTTTGTAAGCTTGTAACAATCCATTTACCGGTATGTGAAAAAATGGATATAAAAAAAAAATGATATGAAGTTTAATGATTCATGCATGATGATGTCCGTATAAATATAATAAAGAATATAGTAAATTTGAATCACAATAATCACAAATCTGAAACTATCCTGAACATACTTAGTTGTAGTACATTTATTGATATACAAAAATATACACTATGTACTTGCTTTTCGATATGTTTTTTGTCTGGCAAGATTTCATTGGTTTATGAGAAAGCATTCTATTCAATATACCACAACTATTAAGCCTATTGTAAATTGTCATGTTCCACATCATCAAAGTTTTTTCTTTTCTTGTTTCAGTGTACAAAATCGTGAAGAATCTACATAGCAATTTGTCCCGATTTAAGTTTAATTAAATTTATGAAAATTTCCTATTGATGAGGTTCACATGGTATTTTAGACTTTCAATTTTACAGTCCGATGCCTCTACAAAACACTTATCCCAGCCACTTGTGTATTTCTTTATTCAGCATATATATCTTAAATATAATATATGTTTATATATTCAGCAATATTTAGCATGTCTGAACTCAGCATCTATACATATATGTTGACTAGTATGTAGTACACATCAAGAGCATAATACTGTACTTCTTGCAGAAACAATTTCTTAACAGAACACAGAGTTTAAAGATGATGGTCTGTGAACACTTCATTACCTTGACCTAAGGTGAGAAAAAAAAGTTCTTTCCATTTAATGATATTACACACCTGATCAGATCAAATTCTTTTCATATCATTCATATCTTGACATCTTTGCCACAGGCTTTTTTTTTTATCAAGTCCTTAAATTTGAATGACAAAAATACAAAGTAAAAGATTCTGCTCTCGAAAAAAGTATTACAAAAATGCTCTGGGTGACTGTTATTCCATCATCATTTACAATACATGTTAATAGGTCCATTTGGCATTAATTGAGGAGTTTTACATTTGCCTAAAGAGAACTTTGATATTTGATTTACCAATCACTGAACAAATGTTTACAATGGTCTTTAGATACATTTAATCTAAAGAATTATGTGGAAAACGACACCTTTAAGTACTGTGACAACAATCTGATTCTGAATTTCTTCTCATTTTCTTCGTTTTCTAAACAAATACAACAGCAGTGAACATATACAATAACATCATCCTTATGCTAAGCTGCTAACAAAATACAGCACATAAGCTTTATAGTACTTCAGCCTCTATTTTTCATACAACAACAAGATTCTCAGCATGTAAACATGCTTTAGTTACAGAATTGAGAATAAAAAACGAGAGATCTTTCATTAAATTACTTTGGATCAGCTAGATAAAAAATAATATATATTTCATTTATATTCTAATTTACAGCTTGTGAGTACATAACTAAGTACATAGTTGTATATTTAGATTGTTATTCACTGTAAAATATACATATTTATGTACAAATAATTTGTGACAAATATGGAAATTAATTGACATGATTTCTAATTATTTTTCTAGAATGAATGCTTTAATGATTAGATTGAAAATAATGTTGGAGCTACAATGCATTTGATCGCAACCAAAGGCACTCTCAAGACCAATTTCAGCTCATTAGATACGAAATGCAGTAATCAAAGATCTACCAAGCAAGATGATTGTTATTGTTTGTGATGCCTTTGGGCGCCTTTCCTTCCTTAACTAACATAAATTAATCTTATACCCCCCAAACAGGAGCACAACTTGAATGGACCTGCCATCATGATCAGAGGACTAGACAAATTCAATTTTACATCAATGATCAATTTTCTCATTGATAAGCAAAATGAAATATAATATTTTTCAAGTTTTGAGGTGGCAGTATACTTAAATGTGCTCACACACTTAGAACTTTGTTAATGTTGGTCGAACACAAAGGTGTCAAAATATACATGTAGACCAAACCCTCGTATTACCATATAGGTACTAAACATACTTAACAATCTGAAGGTGTTGTCGTGTTGTTGAATTGTGCATGAGACTACTTTAAAATGTTTGGAAAAATGTAAAGGCAAGTTTCGGACAAAATAAGTATAATATTATGTGTTCAACCCTATCTAATACATCCATTTGGCAGTATAATTATAAAAGACATACCCGGTAATGTGAAATGAGCAATGCCTAATAACAAAGGCTAGTTATGATAGGAAGTGATTTTGTATCATGCCATTTTAAATGCTGAGTTGCAATCAAGAAACATGTCACTAAATGTAATTACAGGGAATATTAACTATGATGATGCTTGACAGAAAACCACAGCTGCCAATAAGAGTTGGGTGGGTCACAACTATGTTTTCTGCAATTATCAACACCACTTTACATCAAGGTGGACTCCCTTTTCAATCTGAATTCTAGACAATACTGATTATCAAAGCTGACAAATTTACATTGATTTGGGCCTGACTTGTCTGATATGATTATCTATCTATGACATGATATGTAAATACATGTTAACAATGTACATGCTCATTAATTTGTACGCAATTCCGATTATCAAAGCTGGCAAATTTACAATGATTTGTCTGATATTATCATGATTACATATCTATGGCATGATATAATGTAAACAATGTACATGCTAATTAACTTGTAGCAATTATTTGCATACTTCACAATAAGGGTTTGTCAGGTTATCAATATGAATGGTATATAACTTTTATTTCTGTAACTGCAAGAAATTTGTTCATCATTGTCACATGTTTTCTGAAAAATGAGCCAACATGATTCATTAACCATAAATTTCACCCCTAAAAGATGCTTGGTCAATCTGTTTAATAATTTTGTTTATATATATAAATATTATACCAGTAACTCAATCTTAGGTGGTATTACTTGCATAATATGAATCTTGATATGTAGTACCGGTATCACTTTAACGCATGCTGTAGCTTTCTTCCTAATTTGCATATCATTACATTATGGGATGGATTCAGTTCAATTCATTGCGAAGTCTATTTATAGGGCCTTTCTGATGCTCAATTAGTTTTAAACTTAACATAAAGCTCAGATAACTCCTTGGCAGTGCCACTAATAACTGTTGCATACAGTATAAACACTACATTTTACAATTTTGATATTTTACACCCCTCACAACTCCCAAAACATAGATACTAGGTTTCATAATGAGAAACATTACTCTCAGACATATGTACATGTAAGTGCACTGCCGCATGATTAATACATTATCATTCAAAAATATAGTGTGATTTACTACAGAGATAACTAGCACAAGCATAACATACATTACGCATGTATATTCTACCCTGCTTCATCTAAATATATGATAAATTTTTATACAAAAATGCATAAATAGTGAATAATTACACAGGTAATATTTTCTCATTCTTCCTATGAGCTGCATGAGTAAAGCTAGTATGTAACTGGGCTGTGACAGCTCACAACTAGTTAGAGACAACAAATCGTCGCGCTCCCAAGGGGTTCCAGGACAGTTTGCGCCTGTCTCATGCCCGGATTGTCACATTTGAATTTTTGTCTCCTATCAGTCACACTTTAGTTTCATGGAAACTAAACTGAGAAACGTTTCAAGATGGGTTCGGGACACCTGCTAAGATTCTGTGACTATTTTGAAAACGTGTTCGAAATTCCAGTGACACAAGAATGAGGCCATGGGAACGTTTCAAGACATTTTGGAAACTCCCTCAACTGTTTGAAATTTGTCGCCAACCCAGCCCAGAAAGAGAATGGGGCTTAAGAGTGATAATCTAATGAAAGCTACTGATATCAGTACTATTAAACTACAAGTCACACACATATACATGCATTATATGAACAGACTCAAAGATGTGAAAATACCAGAAGAAATATATGCTGCACACATTACACAACATATTAAGCACCATAAGTACCCTAAATGATATATAGACACAAAGACGACTCTTGAAGTGCTCCCGAAGAAATTTCAGCTCGAAACAACTACCGGGTATGCACTCAAATAGCATCAATAATAATTCTGCTCCTCTAAAGAAATTTCACCCTTCTCTAGATGTGCCAATAAATTGATTGATCATGATCAAGATTGATTGTAATAATATTTCATTATTCATATTTCTTATATATTTCATTTGTTAGTTTATTCTTTGATCACATAAAACATGATTAATCATCTGCACATGCCAGGCATTAGCCATGGAATCAAATGCAACATATTGCAAGAGTTGATTGTTTTACAAATGCCCTTTAAACACATTTGTTCAAATTGCTTTCCGGCTGATTACTGTAACATTAAAAACTTTGTACCTTGTTACATTTTTGTGTGTTCTTCTCCTCTTCTCTACTGCGGAAACAGTAATCACATGTTTGTCGATTTGGCTCATTGTTATTTCTTTCTTTTATCATATACAAAAATCGATGAATTATTATTTATATTGTCAATGAGTGGGTAAGATCTGAATTATTGAGTGCCAACTGATACAATAGCTTTTCAGTTAAAAAGATGTATTTTTTAACAAATACCTTATTTAATATATAACAATGGAAATCCTTTATCTTGAGTAGAAATTTTTATCAAATGATGATTGAAACACACTGTTATAGGTATGGATTGCACATAATTGGCAGCTTTTAAATTTTATTCACACAGTATGATCTTGGCAACTCGGTTATCTTCGACATATTCCAGCTGACCTCTGAGATATCAATTCTGTCTATATTCTACTCTACTTCTGGTTGTGTAGGTGCGTGTGGGAGGGGTGTATATGTGCGTGGGGGGGGGGGAGGGGTGTACCGTGTATGTATGTGCATGGAGGGGATAGGGGTGAAGTGAGGTGGGTATTTTTAGGATAGTCGTTGTGGTTTTATAATGATGAATAGACAAAGATTCTTTACAGTCGTGGGTCGATCTAGAAAAAAGTTTGAAGACAAGGAAAACTTACATCATCAAGAGTGCCAGTGCTAGTGCTACAACTATATCAAGTGTTCTGTCTCTATAACTTCAGCACACATATTTTAGCACACATAATAGTAATATTAACAATCGCACCATAATGAAGTAGGTGGCAAGGCAGGTTACAAATTTACGTTGAAAAGTGGCACATCTTTTCAGAGTAAAACATTTGCAGTATTTTTGAGGCAGTACAAATGCTATATTTTAAAAAGCCTACTCTAGGTTTCAGATTCTTCCCAAAAGAAACTTTGAGATTAAGTACTATACATGCTGTTTTAAACTGCACTCTTTACAGGAGTAAACATCTCCTCACAAACAAAAGGGCATTAACTCTGTACTATACAATGTCATGCCCTTTTGGTTCCAAACAGACAAAATATAGATTATTTTAGTACGAACTGGCAATCACATTTCTTAAATGGAAAAAATATATATATATATATTTTCAGCATGAGATAACAAGGACATACATGTAAGCACACATTCAGATTAAGTTGTTTCTTTCAAATCCAGTCAGCCTTCTTGACACTTACCTGTAAACACCTACAGGTAGTATGGTAGTGATTCCTGTAACTATGTCACATCATTGCAATAAATATACCCCAATTCAGGCAAGTTCTGTACTTTTATGAAGTCTTTGCTGCAAATAATATTCCTCTGATAATGAATATCAGAATATGATATAATCATGCAAGCTCTAGACTGATACAGTGTCAAATTTGGACATAATATCACCACTGATAGATCTATGTCCAGCACCAATGTTCATCTTGCACATTATCCTGAGATGATTTATATCACTGTTGTATGCTCATCCTCTTCTGGAATCTCTCTGAGAGCGCTTCTCTCATCAGCCTCTGTTGAGACAGTCACAACATCCGGCAGTGCTTGTCCTGATCGGCTATCCCCTGGTGACGGAAACACCGGAGCAGCATCATCGTAAGATGGCGGTGGCGATAAGGGTATCGGGATGGGCTCTCTACGAACTCTTTGCTCGCCTTGTGATGAAGGATCCGAGATGGTAATAACACGCAAGGTGTTATTACCGACTTGGAATGTCCGTGCGTACGATGGAGGTGGGGAGTTAGGAGGAGGTGACTGCGGCGGTAGCGCGGTATCGTCTGCATGGTTCACCTGACTGTATTCATTTGGATGTGTGAGGACATCGGTGTAGGAGGGTGGGACACTGTTGGCTGATGCAGGCGTGTCGCCCCGCTGGGTGACCAGAGAGTAGCTGTTGTTGTCTTGGTTGTTGTTGATGGTCTCTATGTTAGAGTTGACACGGAGGCGTCTCATGATGCAGGCGCAGAACATACAACCCACACACATGACCACCAGGAGGGTGATAAGGATGGTCGCTGATCCAATCCCCAAGTTCAGACCATTTGCAGATAGCCCACCTTGGAGAAAAGAAAACAAAAGAATACATCAGTCAGACTAGAAATTATTTCTACTTTGGGTTTTCACTTGAGCCATACTTTTAATTGAAAAAGAAAGCCAACAAAATTAGGAGTTTGTCTTTGGCCTCTTTGCATTTAGAATAATTTAAAGCCTATTTCAGTAATTCTCCCCTAAAATAGTAAAATTTCCTTGATACAATATGAAAAGTAGAATACAATAAAAAGCTGCTACATTTTTCCCCCTCTCCTTACAACCTAGACATGCCTCGTTTTGTGAAATTATCTACCTTTTACTCTCCATTGTTTTTGTAACTTTTGTAACATTTTTACACAATGGATTCTGAGCACAGGGCTTCATGGAGCACTGTATTCTGTATGTCCAAGTGATAAACATGACTACTATGAATTGCCTCATTATACCTAAAGTAATGAGGACATAATTTTGTGAGAAAATGGCTTATAGCAAAGGAGTTTAGACAAGCAAAATATAAACAAACTAAAAAAAGATTAATACAAAAAATTACATTCAATTGATAAGGACAACTTAAAGTCACACATATGACACCTGCGCATTGTAGATGAGTCAAGGCTACTGGCTAGCTCCACTACCTTCCTTATGCAAATATTATTTGTTATGAACAGGGCTAGTTTTGTTTGGTTCTCTTGAAAAGTTACTTACTGTCATTAACAAAATTCAAGATTAACTCCTGCCATTCCTGTACATGACCTTTAATCAATAAGAATGAATTTCTCATTTTGTGGAAACTCACCACCACCGGTGGGAATAGAGACGAGGGGTGTCTCAGTCCATCTTGCTGGTCCACTATACTCATGATCATATGAACAGGTCACACCAGCGTCTTCATGGTGCATACAATTATGAGTACCCAGAGGAGCGAACCAGCAGTTCTCAAGACTGGACTCTGTCCCTGTACACTGCAGATCGTCCAGAAGAATGTCGCCTTCGCCGATACCAAATTTGGCGCTGACGTGGACCCTGACGACGAACGGAAAGCCCAGCATCTTGCAGATGACCAGTCCATCGCTGAGACCGAAGTGATCGTCACAGATGGTGCCGAGTTGATCGTTGATCTGGAGTTGGACGGTGCCGGAGTAGGGGCCAGGACCACCAACCAGGCTGACCTTCCATTCTGAAAGACATACCAAATCAGTAATGACTATTGATACATCTCTGAATGGCTTTTCACTTGGTGATGATTAATGGACTAGTTTCATCTCTACAAAAGATAAGTTATCTTGACCTTAAGAGTCCCTCCTTCACACATTTTAGCATGTGCTCGTAAGTGCATGTGAGCAACCACTTGACAATCACTTGACCTATGGCTTTATGTCCTATCTGACGGACTTGGAATTCACTTTCAATTCAATTTTATTTATTTCCACAGATTCATAAAAGACAATATAAATTACAATCAAATATAAAAGCATTAAAACAAAAGATGAACCTGCAGAGGGGATGATAAAAAACCACAGAGGTTTATCGGGGATCATTCCCTGCTTAAAATTACAATATCAAATTGAGGAATTGAGGATGAATGCTGTGATCAAGGGCACTGGGACATACAACCTCTGGGTAACAGGTCCACCGCTATACTGCTTTGATTCATTGATAACTATTAACTTGTAACTTTACAAGTTAATTAGCAGGACTGTTTTGCATCTTGTTCCTGTATCTAAAAAAAATGGATACAGTCACTATTGATGCTCAATGATTAAATAGAAGTCGCACTTAAATGCAACTCCAAATATCAAAATTCATCATGAATTTCACTTACTCATACTAAGGACTTGCATTATAATGAATACTTTAAACAAACTTAATCAACACTTTCTAAGCAAGCAAGCAGGCCTTTCCCCCTGGTGTCTTCATACCTTTATTTGGTGCTACTGTGGGCATCTGTTCATAGCACTCCACACCGGCATCCTCACCATGTACGCAGTTATGTTCCCCCAGTGGGGACGAATCACACTGTAGCAGCTTCTCTTCATCTCCACGACACTGCACATCATCTAACAAGATGGGCCCATCCCCACTGCCATAGTATGCATTACCACGGCTGATCCCGACGTTGCCCAACCCCAGCTGTTTGCAGGCCACAGTGGCGGCTTCATCCGTCCAGTAATCATCACAGATAGTCCCCCACCGAGAGTGATTGCCATAGATCTCAATACGTCCTTTGTTTGGAAACTGTTGGTTCGGCACTAAACGTAAAGCACCTGAGAAAAAGAAGTGGACAAACTACAATAAGAATTCTATCCCTATCATATTAGATATAACTTTAATGCAAATTATATTATCCTCATAGCGTCATCAGAAATTTTAATCATTTCCATAAGATTGTAACCATGTACATACCCGAAATCTTGCTTCCCCTCACCTAATATGTTATAAGATGATTTTTCTATATGTTTTTAAAATGTTCTAATGCAGGTAGTATAGTATCAATATAAATAAATATCATTATGAATATACAAGGCAACCAGACTTTAAGCTTATATACATTTAATACATAAAGGGAGTCCAGTTGACTCAGTTACATTATTTAAAGCCTGTCTGTACTAGTTTGGCCAGGAAGGATTAGACCACCCAGCGTGGTCACTGACAGATGGCTATCTCATCAACTCAGCTCTCAAATACAATAAGAAAAAGGGGATCATGGGGAACCAGCAGTACCGATTAGGCATTGTTTGCTATATAGAGGGCGCAAGTAGCTACAAGTAGTGCAGTGGGGCTTTAACGTTAGTGCTGCATCAGACTGCAAACTTACCAAATTCTGGGTCTGTTTTGCCATTACATTGCACATGTAGTATGCTAGAGTGGCTTGAACCTGGCGGTATCTTGACAGGGATGCATTCCATCAGACTAGCCTCGTTGCCACGACTACACAAGAATCTGAAAGGCAGGACGGGGCTCAAATCAGGCTCTTCAGTTGTCAAGGCCTTGGATAGATTGAGACCGCCGTACTGCCGACAGATGGCAACAGCATCCGAGACTACTGGCCCGTCTGAGGTCAAATAGCTCCAGAATCCAAGGTAACGGACTTGGACCCGATTTTCAGGATCAAGTTTCACCTCAGAGCCTATGTGGGAAGGAGGTAAATGGTAAATGGTAAATGGTAAATGGTAAATGGTAAATTGTAAATTGTAAATGGTAAATGGTAAATGGTAAATGGTAAATGGTAAATGGTAAATGGTAAATTGTAAATGGTAAATGGTAAATGGTAAATTGTAAATGGTAAATGGTAAATTGTAAATGGTAAATGGTAAATGGTAAATGGTAAATGGTAAATGGTAAATGGTAAATTGAAAGAGTATTGACATGTACAAAAACTACATGAATCTATAGTGTATATTCCTGTTACAAAAGTTGGAAAATTCTATAACATGAATTATGATATTGAAATAATCAGTTAATTGATAAATACAGTCAAACCTGCTTTAATGACCACCCGTCTACAAAGACCACATTTTGTGTTTCCCTTGAAAACGGAACCTGTACATAAAGACCACCTGCCTATAAAGACCACTTTTCTTGTCTCCCTTGGGTGGTCTTTATAGACAGGTTTCACTGTAACATCCTGATGATGATTTTAATGGTGAACCACTTGTGGATGAATTAATCTCAAACGTAGCAGGGTTTACAAGAACATCTCTCTTAAATGAATAAAGACCTAGGCCAGGGTATTATATCCAATACATTACTGGCCACAGAGAAGATTTTAGTATACCGGATGATTGTATCAGTTCAGATGATTTTATTGATAAGCAAGTAATTTTAGAGATTGGATCAGACCAAATATCAGTTTTTGTTCTTAATACCAAATTACTTTGTTACATGTGAAGACAAAAGGAACAAGTACCTTTGACTTTCCGTATAGATCTGAGACTTCTTCAGATTCTTACTCTCTCATTCTCATCTGTTCAACTATCATGGTTACAAAATAATGGAGGTTGCTTAGAAGTGAGGCTTTTGGTAAAATTCCATTCAACCATTTCAAAACTATCGACTGGATAGACACACGGATGGATGTCAGTTTGGTGTTTTTTCTTTGCTTGTAAACACTCATACATGTAGGTGCCTGTAAATTATTTTTACACTCATTTTGAGAAACCAAGAAACATCTATCACTACATAAATGATAAGCAATTTAATAATTTGATATTACATTGTCCCAAAGTAAAAAGAGAGAATATGCACATGTACCTTTACACTGTATAAAACTCAGCCAGAAGAGATACTTATGAGTTAACAATCGGAGTAGCAACAATCACTATGTAATCACAAATGTTTTAAAGGCCCTCTGTACTAGTGTGGACAGGAGGGATTAGACCACGCAGTGAGGTCACTGACAGGTGGCTATCTCATCAACTCAGCTTTCAATTAAAAGAAAAAGAGGATCATGAGGGACCAACAGGCAATGATTAGGCATTGTTTTCTATATAGATGGAGCAAGTAGCTACAAGTAGTACAGTGGGGCTTTAATTTGTTTATGTTAATAAGGATACCGACTTACCCAATGGAAGGAGGGGTGTATCGCTGCAAGCTACGTTGATATTGACCCTCATTCTTTGGCAGGTAGGAGTCGATACCTGTACCAAGACTGTACATTCTGATAGAGACTTCTCAAAGCCCTGGCAAACTATAAACCTCACCACATGAGATGGCCTACGAGGAGTAATCACCCTGCTTTCAAGGCTGATGGTGAGAGCTTGGGTGTGTCCTAGCTGACGACAGATCACATGAGCTGCTATAAGGTCTATATTAGTCCCACAGAAAGGCAGCCATCCTTCATAAGGAAACTTCTTTATCTGCAGAAGGCCAGAGCTGGACGTCCCGTTCAACCATACTGCATTAAAAAGAAAAAATTTAAAACAAATACTTGTTAAAAAGGCATCGTTTAACAATGCTAAATCTGAGATGCATGGCCCTACATGTACGTGTTATCAGTGTCTGTGATATGGTGTAATATTGAAGCCCTAAAAAAATTGAGCTTCAAAATGATCAAGAATTGCCTCAAAAAAGTAAAACTCTTTGAGTGACCGGTTTTACCATACTCGTTTTCCCCAATAGACTGTAGTGTTATGAAAAACATTAGGAAAACGCAAAATTTGGTTTTGATTTCCAATCATAAATATCTTGATAATCAGACAGGCGATTGGCTTGTAAAAGTCATGGGGTTCCTGGCTGACCTAAAGGTTAATAATTATCATTGCAGCGTGAGCTAAATCCATGATTTTGTTTCAGAATCTGAGACAAAGTTACCGGGTCCCTTTAAAAGAAACAATTATAGATATTTGATTTGAAACTACATCTGCTGGTCTGCTCTAAGAATTCTGCCATAAAATCATATTTTTTAGACAAGTGTCATAACAATTACCCGCCCCCCCCCCCATAAAAAAGAAAGAGTCATTTTTTATTCTTAACTGTATGCAGAGTACTTCTGTCCCCCCCCCCTTATTTTCCATGCTTGGTTGATAAGTAAATGAGCCCGACTTGCATCTTATAAATTCTTTACTGAAACAAAATTCAAAGCATGTATGCAACTTTGATGTCAGCACTCGTTAAAATTTATCTGTAAACAGGAGATCATAAATTGATGCTTTTTTATGAAGAGCTAGTGAAACAAAAGGAAAATATAACATTGTGTGTCACTGCTCTAGTAGACAAATCGATAGTTTGTGTGAAACATAGTTCTCACATAATGCTGTTTCATCTCAAAGACTGATTTCTACAAAATATCTGTGTATACCTTGCACAGAATCATTGCCTGAAACAGCCACGCCCACACATTTCAGTCCTACAGGTAGTTTCTGCACTCCTGATGGAAGCGTGCTAGTATAGTTGATATGTCCGCAGTCTACCAGTCTAGATTCATATCCTGAACATTTCACTCTCGCCATCAACCATGGGATGGGCTGCAGCTCCACTCCTATGTCTGTTGAAATCCTGTAGAGATATAGAAACAGGAAAGTCATAAGTGCGTTTATTTCAATTTCTAAATTTTAATTTCTGAAGTAAAATTAGACTGAAATCGTGCAGGGATATGGAAACAGGAAAGTGATAAATCCATGGGTTTGTTTCAATTTCTACAGAAAAATTAGATTGAATTAAGAAAAAAAAAAGAAGGGTTGCATAATCAATGGCTTCTTAGTTCCCCAACTTGGAGGAAGATAAATTAACTTCAAGCAAAGCACATTGTTTTTATGCTTGAAATTAGGTCATCATGTAACCCTCTTTATAAACCAATAGTGATGTTATGCACTGTATCTCTGCCTCTTCTTGTAGGAATATATTTTCTGTCAAGCAGTTTACCAAATCGTGTCCTAACAGGCCATTTTATTGTCTTACATGATCCTGTTCAACGAACAAAAGCTGAAAATTTTAAATAAACTTGACAAATTAAGCAAAGTACACCTGTAAACCAATGAATTAAACACAACAGTCATCACTACTACCTACACGTACAATGTAGCCAGCCAAATATGCAGTATTAAGAGCGAGGTATTTCATTTTGCCCATTTTCAAAATGTTTCGTAACTTGAACTGCCCTTACAATCTGATACTCGTTTCCACCTTGAATTAACAAATATACACACAGTAACACTTTTAACACTTTTAACACACGGCTTACACCCTATACATCAAAGTTGACATGAAGTGCTTACACTGTAGAACTGTATTCCAGGTATCCCATTTGTTGGCACGCCACCTTCGCCACCATACTCTTCGAGGCATCTGGGTACACCCAGCCCCATTGGTTGTCCATGAATACTTGGAGGAGGCCCTCATGGGTGACATTGCTTCCAATGAGCCGCAAATCATACTGCCTTCCTCCTGTAGTTACAATAGAAATAAGCACACTTGTAACTACTAGGCATATCATTTGTTGTAATTAACACTGCTCTATGTATGTTACCTTAACGGAAAAACTTTCACAATTTGTCATAATGGATTTGACTGCAGTTATCATGTATGTACATGTATGTGCAGTAAAATACAAGTACCGGTATTACATTATATATCATCTATTGTATCTTTTCTGTATGTTTCATGTTTATATGTTGCACCCTGTTTTTTGGCAAATCTATTGTCCTGAGCCATTGAATGCTATATCAATATTGTGATATAATTTTGTTTGTATATGATCTACATGTACTTGTACCAATATCTATTTTATCATGAAATAAATACTTTATATTAAATAATGAAAACATTGATTACATGAATTGTATCATTATTATAATCATGCAACTGAGAGAAAGACATGTACATGTATACCAGATAAAAAGAATTATCAATGTTTTATCATAACTTAATCACAATTATAATTGATAAATGACACATATTTGGAGAATGGAGATCCTCCTCTTTCATTTGATGCAACTCATAATAATGCATTTCTAGAAAATTGAGTTTCCGCCCTTTCATATGACACCTCATTCAGGAAAAATGAGCTAGGAATAACAAAGTTCTGTTTGTTTAAAGTAGTGCTTGCATTTCCATAATTTGATTAAACGAATTTGTTTTCACTGGCTGCTGCCGTATCAACAAACGAAATTAAAAAAAGACTAACTCCGTTTCGTTGACAATCAAACGTAGACGAAACACTTCATGCATGGCTGATTGTCAACGAAACGGAGTTAAGTCTTTTGTCAATTCTGCTTTTTGCTACGGCAGGCAGCCAGTGAAAACGAATTTGTTTGCTAAGAGTATGAAAATGTAAAGGCTACTTTAAACAAACAGAACTTTGTTATTCCTCGCTCATTTTTCCTGATTGAGGTGTCATATGAAAGGGCAGAAACTAAACTTTCTAGAAATGTGATTTTCTCTTTGAAATTCAGATACCGCCCGCCAAATGACTTTTCGGTTTCCTCTCTTCAAATTGATTTGAATCACTCATGCGTGAAATATGCACCATAATGAGTTGCATCAAATGAAAGAGGAGGATCTAAGCTTTCCAAATATGTGTCATTTATTAATTATAAATGTGATTAAGTTATGATAAAACATCGATATTTCTCGGTTTCATTTTTTCTGGGACGCACTGTATATTTATATGAAGCATTGCTTTATTGTACGTGCATGAACATTAGTGATTAATAAACCAAACATAAGATATAGAGAATAAGTAAAATTAACATATTATATATCAGATTACATGGAGAAAAAAAATCAACACAACAGTACTGATTTCAGAAAGTGGACTTTAACAATTCAATTTAAAAGAGAAAGTGAAAGTGCTTGTAAGTTTTTAAACTGCTTTCAATTCTCGCTACCCCAAATAGCGATTCTGCCGAGATCCGGGGAAAATCCTGAAAACGCGCATTGCATTATGGGATAGCTTTTCGACATTACAGCTTCCTGTGCAGGCGCTATATTACTAGGCGCGATAGCGCAAACGTAAAATGCCATCGCCACACAACGTGTATGCACCGAATATGTCGTCTGCTCGGTCTTGTTTTTTTTTCGCAAATATTTCAACGTTTATTTGAACATTTCATTCGTTGTTTTTTGCGTCTTTTGACATCAGTGACGATGGTTTTCTTTTGTGAGGCTGCACAGTGCTGGGCTCATGATTCCAAGCGTAAGAACCCTGAAAAATGGGGGTGGATGAAGGCCGTGACTTGGGTGAAATTTCCCACCGAAGCTGGAACACGAGCGACATGGCTGCGCTTGATTCGCCGCAAGGACAAAGTGAATTTGACCAAAAAATTGCGGCTTTGTTTGAGACATTTCGATAAGGAGCAGATTGATCCAGATGGTTATGCCAAAGGCTATCCCAAATACTTTTTCTGGAATAATTTTGGTCTCTGCACAGCGAACACAGGCGCTAGCGCCAGCGGGATGGGACTCTATACCGGAAGTTGTAGTGACGACCCGAGAGAGTGAAAATTACCTCGTCTCGCGAATTTCGAGATTTTCGTACCTATTTAGGGTAGCGAGAATTAGACAAAATAAAATGGATCACAAAATTACAATTACACATTTCAAAGCCCATATATGTAATTAACGCTGTAGCATCCATTATTTCCCGGCTATTACCATTAGTTAGGGGTTTTACAGAAATGAAATTCCATTCTGTATTTGTATGTTTTAATTGTTTTTATGAAGAGTGTTGAATAAACTTTGAATTTGAGCCGTATACATATTTGTGCATGTGCAATATGTACATATGTCAGTAAGACTGCTTCATACTGCACATGTATGTGCTTTATATGGGTTTGTTGCTGAATATTACAATGCTATTTGAGTTCTACACTGTATTCAAATATTTCTTATCTTTAAATCTGTTTCTGCATACAGATAAATGCTTTAATTGATTCTAATTACATTATCTAAATCAATGTTATGTTACTTCTGTTAAACATGAGCATGAAATGAGATGTTCAATAGTAAGGATGTGATATTTGAATTTCCAAGTTGGAATTGCATTTGAGTATACTAGTACAGTGTACATATACATTCTTAGATTAAATGTACATGTAATTGTACCATATTGAAACCTTGCTATTATTCATGAGCTTACCTTCTACACTGGCTACTGTTGAACGTTGCAAGTCACCTACAGAGGTTGCGTAAGCTGCCTCTAGAGCCAACGTGAATGCAGTGACCGTCGTTGTTGATATATGAGCCATTGAGGAGCGTGGTATTCCATTCTTCAAAGGTGAAAAGCTCATCAACACAAGCAAGCATGCAAGCATAAGATGATGGAATAATTTGATTGATGGCCAGATAGCAGTGGTACTAGCAAACATGATGGGGGATGCAGAGCTGCTTCTGGTAGATCTACTTCTGTTTGATTTGCAGCAATACTCAGGGCACAGATTTGAGGGCGAGAAACTCCTTCCATTCGATTTAAACAGTTATCCCTGCCATCTTGTTGCGGTTGATGATGATGTATCACAGGACTGTGAAAAATGATAAGAAAAAAATGCAAATAACAATTGTGTATTTGCATAATGAATACAAATAATCAGGTGCATGTAAATCATGAGTTAAAATGCTACATTTAAAGTAAAGAAAGAAAGGTGACTATAGAGTTAAACAGACTTGATAAATAAAATGTTGCCCTCGAACAAACTGCAGGACATAAGCAAATAGCCAGCTTATTTCTCTGAAACTGAATCCATTCAAGAGAGCATCCTGCATACATGATGAACATAAAATGTTGATATCATAATTTTAGTTCAACAAAATTACAGTGTTAACAGGAAATGCAGAAATTCACCTCAACCTCAAAAATACTTTGGATCTCTTTGATTTAACTGTCCAAGATTCACTTGCAAAACAAAGGTCTGAAGAGTGTACAGAAGGTCAATATCATATATATGGCATCAAAGAGCTACTCTTAGACTCATTAGCCTAGTTATTTACATGTAGCACTGAGCGTACGATGCAGAGAAATACCTCTGCATTACTGGATTTTCAAGATTTTATCTAACACTCCTTTTTTTTCTCTATTTACAGAACAACTTGACAGCCAACCTTGAGATATTTTTAATGATATACTGATACTAAAAATGGAAATTGACTATAGATCTACGTACAAATAATTAATAGATTTCATGCGTGCAAAGTCATGGTCATTAATTCTCACAATGGCCACTCGATAAATTCTCAGAATATCAACTAAACAAAATCATATTCTGGTTTCTAGAGGCAATCGAAAGAAGGTGAGCAGTTTACACAATTGACAGTTAAGTATTTTTCATTTTCTGTTTGAAGTGTTATTATTAAAAGGTTGTGTGATGATTTACTACATAAGCACTGTTGGAAAGTACAACCAGGGTACTATACGAAAAAAGGAAAAGTTTTAATAGCCACTTACAAATGTACATGTAGGTCTCCAAAACACAACCAAATGCTCAAAAAAGTGAAGGTCACTGTTAAAGAGCAATAGATAATGAGGGTAATTTTCATGTCTAATCACGCTGGTAAATCCGCCTACATTGACTGACGATGGTGGGAAACTACCATTTAAAAATCAATTAGGTACATATTGAATATACATGTAGATCCTTGATTATTTTACCACTATACCCACAACTGCAATATTCTTTGGTAGAAATTATGTTTATTAAGTGTTTTTTTAATTGTTTATGTTATTTAGGCAGAAGTAACGTGACACGTTTAAACGATTTTTAACTAAATGTTATGTAAGTTTTTTACAATGTATATATCCAATTCATGTAATTCATGTGCAATTCAGTTGTGAAACTGCCATTCATGAAAGATGCAATAAAATACCATTTATCTATCTATCTACTTAAAGGGAACATTTTTTATATTGTTAAAACCCAACAACACAGTATTAATACATGATGTAATCCACAAAAAAAAATCTTACAAATTATAATCATGTGCTCCACCTACCGAATACGGTACTGAATTTGTGATAGAGTGTATTTAAGAGACAAGTTTTTTTCCTTCAGATTATGTTCTGTACATGTACATGTATACATGTATAGCATACCGGTATGTAGGTACGGTAGTCTAAAATTACATACATGTAGAAGGTGAACTGAACAAAGGTTGATCATCTAGCATAGATGTACTGCAAGGTTCTGGAATCATCAAAATGATAAGAAATTTGGGCAAGTCTTCATAAAGTTAGAATCACTGTACACAGAAAGATGTATATGGGACTACACACACGTGCGTGACACGTGCATTTGTATCTCTCAACAGGCAAGAGATACACTAATTTACCAAATATATCAATTAGTAGGTGGTTTCCCATCAACATTTTTATCATCATGTATTATTCAAAACATATTCTTTCACATGATTGGTAATAAGAGCTTCCATTTCATTTTTTGAAATTGGGGCATTTCCAATACTGGTCTTTACCTTTAAAGATAAGCTTGAGTTCTGGTAATGATAGAAAATAAATTTTGACAGAATCCAACAAAACTTACAGTGAATGTTCAATATTGCAAATAAATGGCATGTGCCAAAAGATTTTGGTAGAAAATGTATAGGGAATGAGGAATGAGAATAGAAAGAGAAGGAAATCAAGGTTATAGTAGGCCCGACACCATGTGCTTAAATTAACACAGGTCACTATGTGCAAATGAGAGCTGTGGTTTTTATTGGAGATGATTCCCAGCAAGTTTATGTGAGGTTGTTAACTTGTTTTTATCGATCTTACTGGATCAAACAATCAATCTACTGCAGGATAAACAATCCAGAGTGAATTATAGCCATGTTCTCTCGACATACGATGCACATAGAAAAAAAAAGTGAAAGGGGTGGGTAATATACAGCACATCTTTAAATGAATTAATGTCACTCATTATCATGACTACAAAGCAGGCACATCGCCATGGGGGGGGGGGGGGGTGACACAGGGGGGCATGTGCCCCCCCCCCCCACCAATTTTTTTCCAAGATTGGTTGAACTTTGTTAGACCCCTCCCCAGGACGTCGATCGATTACATGTACAGTATGTGCCCCCCCCCCCAAAAAAAAAAAAAAAAAAAAAACATCAAACTCTGGCTACGTGCCTGCTACAAAGTACATGTAGGCATGAAAGCATTTTGCATACTTTTCCAAGGATATATCTTCTCAACATTTCATACTAGACCATGGTAATAGTAATAAGTTAAACATTTTCCTTTCATAGGTGCTGTGACAATCATAATGTTCAGCACTCAGTCAAACTAATATGATATCTGATAAAGTCCCAAGTCTGTTGGTTAATAAATATTATTGGTTAATAATGTTGGTTAAATAAAGATGTATTTCCTACTGCATGAAGTATCAAAATGCCAGTTAATATTCTGAAGAAGAAGAAAAAAAACAGTACTTGGAAATTCAACGAGAGAGAGAGAAGTGTAGTATATGTATGTTTCACATTTGATAACATTTAAAGATATACTGCATGAAGTGTCAAAATACAAACACTTTGTCCACATTCTCAAAACAAATGAGATTAAAAAAAGATTTAATATCAAAGAATAAGATTTATGAGATAATCATACTACATGTTGTATCAAAATGCTGTATTTTCTAGACAAATGAAGATGGGTCAGTTAAAAGGAAGATTTAACATGTGAGAAGAGTGTTATCATGTTTCAAATTTGATAAACATGTGCAACATCAATACACTAAATGTAGAAATCAAATGCCAGCTATTTGTCTGAACTGAAAGCTTAAACTGATATAGAATTGTTTTGAATACAAACAAAAATCAGACAAACTGATCTCTGATTTACTGTGCATGTAATTTTACCTTGACATGTTAAACATGTACAAAGAAAAGAGCCAGATGGCATAAAAAAGGGGTTGATTTGATTGCTCTATTCTACATTCTAGGGCTCTAGCTCGCTTTACATGTAAACAGTCATGCTGATAAGGAACTATTATTATTTCTGTCTTTCTTTCTTTGTAGACTAAAATGTGATATAATATGTCGATATTACTTTGGAGTTGGTCTGAATTTAAACACACAAACTATGAAAATGGTAAGACTTACAAAGTTCACTCCAACATGCTTCTCAAAGATCCTAATTAGAATGCACATAATATACATGTACATTGTACCAAGATACACCAGTACATGTTATCCAAGAAAACAACGATACATGCAATACGAGATGAAATATAATCCTGTAAGTAACAAAATACTTACTGAAAGTTAAAAACAAAGCAGGATATACCTCCAACCAGTTTCGGACAATCTTACAGTTCATCATGTATCCTGAATACTCACTAAATGTATTTCCCACACTTCCTATATTCCTCTCTCGTCCTCCCACATCTACCGGTATGGTTTTACTGGCATATAATAGTCAGACAAAAACTTTAGGCTGTGGTAGGTTCAGGTATTTGACATAATCCTTAACTGGTTAATAACATAATCGCTATTAAACTCTATATATGAGAAAGGGGAATACCCCCTTCTTCACTGGATGCCAGTGTCAACAAAGATTCCGTTGCACATGTGCCTACCGGTACTATATGAGTATCATTGGTATTACTGAATGTGATTTACTTCCAATCAATCACTCTCATTTGTGGTCAGAGAAAGACTAAGGAAATGAAAGAATTCCCAGAAACCACACATGTGCGTACATGTACATGTATGGGTACCGGTATATTCTCCCCCGACCAAATTTTCCCTCATATTATTCAGAAAAGAAGAAATCCCACAATCCTACACTTTCCATTCTTTATTTCCTCATAAATGTTTAAAGGGAACTTGCTGTAGAACTCTATTTTTAATCTACTACATGTATGTTCAACAACATATTTCAGAAATTCAGATCACTGTTCATGAGTTCTGATACATTTGTTATACCATTTATACATCTACCCATTGAATACTACATTATACTTTGTATTTTGACCTGGAGTCTATGGAAAATGTCACCATAATAAAATTATGACTTCTATTCTGGTTTAAACTTTTTTTTAAGAAAAAGAAAATATATGTATAATACACATTAACTGACTTTTATTCAAAGTTTAAACAGTGTATTACTATATGCAATGCATTAATACAATTTTATGAATGTAACGTAAGGCAACAAGGGCAAGAATCTTAACATGTTTTTACTCCACAGGTGTACTTTAACCTTCAATTTTTTTTCTCCCGTTTGGAATATAACAGTCTACAAATGTGTAAAAAAACAGGATCTTCCAAAGCTCCAAAGACTTTTGCCCAAGTTATCTAGGACTGTGTATTGAACCATTTTAAGGAAAGACCAATCCTCATAGCAGGGCTCCACACTAACTTTTTGGAAGGAAGTCAGGATTGAACTCTGTAAAAAAAAAACTTCACAATTTGGGGGGTCCAAAGTTAGATTCGGGCCGGTGCCCATGTGCCCCGGGCAGCAAGGGCAAAGCTTAGAAAGAAAAACAAACAAACAACCTACTGGGAAAAAAAAATGTAATGATATTGTGTAATATAATCAATTAAATCAAATAATGTAAACAAAAAATGAAAATGATTACATTTCAGACTGCAGTATGTAATGGAAATATCAGATTGCCAAGTTAGTCTAGTGACTGTACAATGCTCCATGAACATTGTTTTTTTCCTATGAAATCAAAGAGATATTAAGTGAATAGTTTTTTATCTGAATCACTTACTATTACTTTCATTAAAAAACCTGACCAGAAATATTTCAACCATTTAAATTTTTAAGTTTGCTCCGAAAAAGTACTATTTGAATGTTAGAATCTTAAAATTTAACAAATATACCCTGCAATCTTTTCGAGGTACTTGTTAAAACTATGGGCCTCAGTGACTCCAATAGTTTTAACCAGAACCTCTCAAGATATATACATGTACATGTATGTATACTAAAGTGTTGGTGCAAACCAAAATTAGTCCAGCATCATCTTTTTGTCACAGGTCGACTGCGCCAATCTTTTGGTATTAATTTTTGTTTTTGAGTTTGTTTTTGGTGAAAGGTATGTTTTCGAATTTCAAAAAAGATTCTCTTTGTGAGTTTGGAAGTCCCTAGAAAACACACATGTTAGGAAGTTCAAATTTCATTCTAAAAAAAGGATGGCATGATGCATGTTCACCCTATGTTCATCGCACATGACATTTGGAACACTTGATGAGATACATAGTCTTCCAAGAATCAATATTGTAGTAGAAACACATAGGTTGGAGTGATATGTACAAGAACATTAAAGAGCATTTAATTCCTTTCAGTTTCACAAATTTTGACTTGATAAATTTCCATGACAACTTGAATTACATTAGTAGATCTAGTCTATTAAGTATTACCGGTAATTTACTGGTAAGTAAAAAAATCTTAAGATTACCATCTAATCCAAGACATAGACTAGTTGATGATACTAATTCTACTGCCCTGAGAAGTCACTGTCAATGATTAATCTCTGCTTAAAGGCCTATACTATAGCGTATACCCTATACTATGATCGAGAGAGACATCTGTGGAAGCCAATAGTAATACCAAATAACCATCTGGTATCATATGGGGAATTCTTGAATAAAACTGACATTTGTCAACTCTTATAGAGGCGGTCATTGGAGCCACACGCAGTCTCAACAGAGCAACCGTTGATATAGAGCTACATAATACATATGTATAGAGACTGAATCTTTCGCCTTTGGATTACACATTATAGCCTACAGCCTGTAGGTCTATTACCAACCAAGTGTTTAATCCTGCCCAATTTCAGTGTTATGACAATTGTTGTTGTTTTTGTTGGATGACAATTTACAATGTCTTACTTAAACGCCCATAAAAGATAACACCGTTTTCATGCATCATCTATCAGATTCATGCATGCAGATCTACAGCTGTATATGAAGCTCCAAGCTCTCTAATTCACATCATCAACCACATCAACGCCACACCCCGCACTAGCACCCTGCATGTCCCCGGAGCCCCTGGGCCAGGCTGGCTTCGAGCTGAGATGCCCGCACGTACATGTACATACCTGCGCCCTAATCGTTTTTCACACGGTAGCATAGCAGCCGACCTTGCATGTCATATTTTGCTTAAATGCATTAATATACTTTGCTTTGGTCATGTGCCGGTCCATATACCGAACCATATATTCAGTAAAAACTATTATAAAGGATAATATTTACAAAAAAATATGTTACTTACGAGTTACGACTGGCTAAGTTATGTAATCAATCAATCAATCAATCCACTTCTCTGTTGCGCTTCTCTCTCTAGCTAGCTAGCTAGCTGGCTCTGTGTAGTACGTGTGTACCCAGTACCGTATACTAGCGCGCAACACGGCGCGATCCCGATCAACAGCGCGCGACGAGCACGGCATATCCGGAGCGGCACCACGGCCTCAGCTTACCTCGTACCGTGGCCTTAATACAGAACAACATTCAACTCCAGTTACCGAATGTTGCGTAGACTCTAAGTCTCTAGATCTAGTCTCTGTTGCTTTTTCAATTTGTGACATATACACGACCGGACCGGCCTGGTTTTACAGCTTCACTTTAATTATTCGACCTAAAAAATAGCAATATGGCCGATGCCACACAAAGCATCCATGTCACTTTAAAGGAGAGTTTTACCAAGATTAGTGAGCAAATTGAAGAGCTCCAGCTGAGTCACAGAGAATGGCAACAGTTGATGAAATCTCACAAGGAGTTTCAAGTGTTTGACAACTTTATCAGAAGGCAACCACAGTCTATGGGAGTCTTGTATTTGAAAGTCATCCTTTGGTCCCTTGTGAGCCTTTTCCTGTTAGTGTTCCTCCTCTTTGCAGTCTTCTCACACAACGTCATCCCGGACGATTCATTCCTCGGTTCAGCTCACTACCACATCTCAAAGATTTATGTCGAGACCTTCGATGGTGCAATTCTTGATGAGGAACAGTGCATTGTCCCTTTCCATGAAGCTGTGCAAGATCTGTTCCGACCTCCTGTTTTAGATTGCAGTATGTGTGCTGGCATGACCTCGGTAGACATCCGTACCAACCTGACAACCAAAGAGTTCAAAGACAAATACGCTTACTCCAGCCGACCTCTGCTCGTGACGGACGGAATGGAAGGCTGGACAGCTGTCGACACCTTCAGTTTCCAGTTTTTTCAGGAGGTGTATGCAGCAGGCAGTAAAGCGTTGAAGAGTGCGGAGGATGACTGCCAGTTCTTCCCTTATAAGACAGATTTTGGGAAGCTGGGAGATGTGTTCAACATGACAGTGGATCAAGCTTATTTAAGAGATGGCTCAAATTCAAAGCCATGGTATATCGGATGGTATGTTTGCATTCATAGCATTCGCAGTAACCTTTTGCTATTTTTTTTTCTTTCATAAAAAGGACCCTCTATTAATTGCATGGGACAACACTTATTGTCAAATTGAAAAAATATACACTAGTTGCTGCAAAAATTATAACCGTAATGTTGGATGGAGCTCCGTCAATACAATCCACAGTATAGACGTTAGACAGGGCTCAAATTAATTTTTTGTCCACGGGGGCTCTTTCCCCGAAAAAAGAGCCCCCGTGAGCCTTCTCACGGGGGCTCTTTTATTACTGGCGGGGGCTCTTTTTTATACAAATATCCATTGAATTGGTACCTATATGATACTCCTCAATTATTTGCTATTTCATCATTATCATTTCAATCAGCATTTTCCCTCTTACAAATTTACAAGCTACATAGCTGTTACTGGCCTGTGTATATAATATATACGCATTACAACACTGATCTTTATGATGTCTTTAACGTGACATATCTTCTTCTCCCCTTGCAAATGAAAAAGAAAACATGGTCATTAAAAGGGATTAAGCGACAAATAATGATTGTGATTCAAATTGATGCGAATATTTCTTTGAATAAGCACTGCTATTCACCCGAATCTTCTTTGTAAAAACAACTTTTACAAATCTCAGCCATGCTTACTGAGTTGAGACGTTCCATTCAATTTAAAATACCCATTACATAATACACTTCTCCTAATCTCAAAGTGATCTTACAGCACAGTGGCAGAATTGCATGGCTGAGATTTGTAAAAGTCGTTTTTACAAAGAAGATTCTGGTGAAAAGCATTGCTTATTCAAAAAAATCCTTGCATCAATTTGAATCACAATGATTATTTGTCGCATGGTCCTTTTATTAAATAACCTTTTTTTCTGTTTTGTTTGCAGAGGGAGAAGAAGCTATGTCACGTTAAGAAATCATAAAGATCAGTTGTATTATGCGTATATACATATGATACCAGAACAAATGTTGATTATCAGAATGTCATTTTGGAATACCTCTATACAAATACCACATTGTCTTCAGCCCGTATCAGTATTAGTATGATCCAATATAAAGCTATTATTCTTTATTTAATTCAGTATAATGCTTTTCCTCAAAAATAGTTTTGCTATTTTTTTAGGGTTGAGATGCTAAGAGATGGTTTCAAATGTACATTACACGAACCCTGAACCATTGCAAAATGATGGTGGTTCTCTCTCTCTCTCTCTCTCTCTCTTTCTCTTTATTATAATCATGCATTATCAACTACATATAAAGCAGCAACCAAAAACTTAGGGTTATCTGAGATAGGTGAAAGTAAGAGTTAAAAAGAAAGTCATGCTAAAACGGCGCTTCACTTCCCCCCGCCCCCTGAAAAAAATAAAATAGATTAGTAGTCCTCCTCTCCAGAATCCCCATCCCCCCCCCCCCCCCCCCCCGCCGTAGATCTGCCCATGTTACCATATCATTCCACGCAGGGGCGGCGATCCCGGGGGGGGGGGGGGGGACACGTCTCCCCCTCAAATTTTTTAGGGGGGGGGGGGGATTGTCCCCCCTGGAAATTTGAAAAAGTGCAAAACAAATTGTATAGCATGTAATATGTCATCTTATACATTGACTCAATGCTACATGCTATACACACATACACATGCTATACACACATGTATGGGCTCTTCTATACACAATATAACCAGGCATGCTGGATTGCAACCTAACTCTGATGTTTCTCTATGTGTCTTCATTTGAGTACTAACCATACAGCTAAACAACCCCACATTATATAGCATATACTGAATAATGACTGCAACACACTTTTAGGCTCTGGAAGGCCCAAGAGTGCAGCGTTTAGACTAATAAAATTGCAAAAAAAATCTCGCTCGGTCGCTACGCTCCCTCGCATAACATCCTCGTAAAAAAATTCGCATTTCGTCCCCCCGGTCATTAACAGAAATCGCCGCCCCTGATTCCACGACATTTTGGTCTTCCTCTTCTCCTCAAAAGGGACTTTTAGATTTGCGTGGACGTGGACGTGTTACGTCCTTTTAAGGCACTGGCAATCACATGTGACGTCCTTTTAAGCACTGGCAGTGACCTTAAAAGGAGGTCACACGTTGCAGTCCACGTTCTCATCGTGCAAATCTAAAAGTCCCTAATATTGATTTACTGGTCGAGGTTCATTATTTGCTGACAACGAAAAACTTCTCCAGGCCATGACCATGTTTCTGCCCTTGCCCGATCGCCTCCAGCTCCAGCAGACATGGCGCGGCAGCGTGCACACGCACCGCTACTAACGGCGCAGTAGGCCTATAACCACTGCTGACGGCGGCACTGCACTGCGAGCTGAATCGGTAATAATAGGCCTACTCATAAAACGAGAAATCTTGCACGCTAATCTTAGTTCCATTTCATTGGTTTAAGGTTTGAAAATTGAAACTCAATATTGTGTTAAAGTTATAACAAAAAAGATTATCTTTATTTTATAATTCCACCGGGGCGATTTTTAATTTTGCAATCGCCCCCGTGAGCAACCTGACGGGGGCGATTTTGTAGCTTACGGGGGCGAATCGCCCACCGCCCCCGTGTATTTTGAGCGCTGGACGTAGACCAGTGTATGAAAAAAACAAAAATATCCATCAAGTGATAATAATCATCATAAATATTTGTATTTTACAAATGACAATCATGATTGATTTGAGAAATGAGCAAAGATGGCAATTCAACACGTGGTACAAAAAAAAAACATCCTGAAAATGCTTAAATGCCACATTACATAGATCCTTCGAAAGGAATCATGTGTTCTGTCATCCTCCATGCATTGTAAGGGATGAATATTGTATGTTAAAGGTATTACAAAGTTCTGGGTAATTTTGAAAAATGGGTGGATAGATCTGGTGATTCTTTACAATTTTGATATATTTGTATGCCCCCGTGGATGTATTAAAAACACCGGAAATTGTAGCTTCTAAAACACTTCTGCTTTCGAGAAAAATTGAATATAAAGATTTACCGGTGCTCCCGGTAAATTTTGATAAATTTAAAATAGCTCCTACGGCCGTAGAATGATAGCTGCGAGCATGAAAATCTCAGAGTATGTAGTTGTGGTATATAATTTCAGAACGAGAATAGCTAATCAGTCAATTTTTAGTCAATAAACATTGTTTTACAGCTTAATTAATATCTTGACCGTGAGAGGGAGCTATTCACCATAAAGTGTTTATTATTTACAATTTCATAACTTTAGAGTCGATTTCGACCGTGACAACGATCACTGAATGTTGTAGGATCGTATATGCTTCCAATATGTTCATTTGAACCAAATTCATGACCCCATACCAAAACTTTGTATTACCTTTAATGTTTACTTTCATTAATCATTCTGCTCCCAAACGGGTTACATGTACAAGAGGTCACCTCACTCACCTGTAGTTATCATGCACACCATGCTATTCATTTTAGTGATGAAACATTTGAAATTATCGCAAAATGTAAAAACGGATCGACAGAAGAAAGGAGGAATTAATAATGTGTTGATTCTTGTTTCGTCTCTATTCCTTTCAATTCTCTTACAGGAGTAATTGTGATTATACAGCTGCAAACAACCTGAGGAAACACTACAAGAAACCCTACTTTTTACCAGAAGACTCCGAGTCTAGTAAAGTGGACTGGCTTTTCATGGGCAGTCCAGGTTATGGAGCCCCAAACCATGTAAGCACCTGACAGAATACAAATTTCTATTCCTGTTCTCTAAAAGATATATTTGGTTTATTTTGTTGGCAAGTCCAAGGTATTTACAATTTACAAGTATCATGATACCTGAAGTACTGTTTCCTTCATATTTAGAGAAGACCAAGCTGTTGTAGGGATATCAACAAATTAAAATCTTAAATTTGTGAAGAAAAAAATTCATTGGACCTGCCAGTGGCGGATCCAGCCGGTGGGAAGGGGGGGGGGGGGGGGGGGGGGGGGGGCTAGTTGCGACTCAGCCACCTAATTCGTGAGAATTTTTTTTGTTGACCCGTCAGCCCCTCCCCCCGTGGATCCGCGCCTGCAGAGGATCCAGACGGCGTCAAGGGGGGGGGGGGCGGGTTGGAATAATCGCTACGTGGATCCACCCCTGGGACCTGCCCAAGTGCAGACAAAGATTTTATTTCATGAGTATTCTTGTAAAGTGAGTGTTTCATCTGAACATTATTTTCCTCGTAAAGTGATTACTAAAATTCTCACTCCTTTACAGATTGATGCTGTTGATAAACCATCTTGGCAAGCTCAGGTCAAAGGTCACAAAATCTGGACATTGACCCCACCTCCTGAATGTTACTTTGAATGCGGTCCTCGGATGGAGGTCACATTACATCCAGGTTCAATTGGTAAGGCTGCATACAAACAAGCTCATCTTTATTCCTTAAAGGCTGTCTGTACTAGTTTGGCAAGAGGGGATTAGACCACCTAGCAAGGTCACTGACAGGTTGTTATCTCATCAACTCAGCTCTCAATTAACATAAGAAAAAGAGGATCATGGGGGAACAACAGGCACCGATATTAGGCATTGTTTTCTATATAGAGGGTGCAAGTAGCTACAAGTAGTACAGTGGGGCTTTAACTGATTGTATCTCTCTTGTTTTGGTAACCCATCACCCATCACCATACCTAAAATAAACCTAATCTTATATTTAATTCCAATACTCTCTTAAATAACAAATATTGAATCAACCAATTGCTATATTGCTAAAATTTGATTTTTGTCAAGTCTTGTTTCATAATATTATTGTTCTGTACATACAAGGGGCAATTCATGTTTAAAGTCATCTAATACTTTTAGTACGTTCGTCATTATTATACAAATTTCACAAGTAAAGGGGTTATTTCCAATCATACAAACATGGAAACTTTGTAGTTTTCTTGCTACTTTGTTATGCCTATGGTGCTGTACAGTATAGATAATGAACTACATGTACATTTTGAGAATGTTAATATGATATTCTGTGTTTCTGGATTTGTTCTCTCCTACAGTGATTGTGGATACAAACAGCTGGTTTCATTCCACCCTGGTGATCGGAGATGAGATGAGCATCACCATTGGTTCGGAATACGACTGACCTTTGACCTCTCGTCATTAATGTGGGCTTCCTTTACCATTCTCTTTCACCCCACGTACATGTATGGTGTTGGGCAACCTTTGATGTAATTTTTTATAAACGTTATTTTCATGTACATTGTAAGTACTACATGTAGAAGTTATTTGCTCAGTATTCCAGATTATTTTATCTACCAAATACTCTTGTGATATTTTCAAATTTTTTAATTGACATAACATTTGTTATGAAAGAATCTTTTTCAAAGTACTGTTGTTTATATATCCATTTTCATAAAAACCTCTTTTGAACTTGTGTGCCAGTACTCCTAAAAGAATTAAAGCTGAATCTTTTTTCCCTCTGTTTTTCAGAACTCCACTTTTAAGGCTTTTACGTTTAAATTCAATTGACTGCAATTTGTGTTCCAGCTTTAATGATCATTCATATTTGCTTTGTTTACAGTGAGTTTCTGTTTAATATCTAGTTTAATCTACGAGGGAATTGTAAATGTAGAAGGATAACTGCCTAAAGGTTTGATTCGATACTAATTAAATTCTGGTTTTGAAGCTGAAGCTAAAGGTAATCTGAGCTCGTTGAGAGACAAACAGAAAGAGAAACAGTTTTAATTTCTTAATCATTTCCTTTCGAGCCTCACATCACATCCTTCTGTTGAATATGAATTTGAGCAGGCAGATTTACAATGTGAAGAACATTTGTCATAAACCATATTATTTTGGAAAGGGGAAGAACCCTCACAATATCTTTCTATATTCTTTGGGGGATTTAGCCCAGTGTACTAACTATACATGTACCTAAAGTTTTTACCTAAATAACCTTACATGCATGTATATGACAGTGTTATCCTATACTGATATTAATGGTTATCTTCCCATGCACAGAACTGCATGTAATTCATAGCTTTCTTATTGATGATAGCGTGCCAATTCATTTTCTGATACTTAAAGTTCAGTTAACAACTTAATTATTCATACCGTTACCAAGCTGTGTAATTTATTTTAGATATGTGAGAAATATTTATTTGTCCTGATTTATGTTTCTTTAGAATGTGACATATCAAAGCTTTCATCTAAAAATATTCACCAATGGCCCAAATTCAACCAGTCCACCTTTCATTGTTAAGTTAAGAAAAACAGAACGAACATTAAATTTACAAGGGGTATCAAGAATTTAGTTGCTAATTATATTAATCAACAGCCTGTGGTTTAGTATGATTGTTCATGTATACAGTATTATGTGTACTATTATGTTGAAGACAAGGTATGTGATATTATTGCTGGTATATGGGTCCTTGTATTGATTTCATGTAAACTTACCCTCACATGAGTAATGATAGACATATATTATCATATAGACCACTTCAGTGCTGAAGGCTGACTTATTGTATCACATTCAATGTAACATGTAAGGTTTGGTCAGTTTTCACATTTTGGATATAATTCTTTGAGTGGATATCATACTTTTAAAAAAATTGTTCAGGAACTTTTTTTTTTTTTTTTTTTTTTTTTTTTGGGGGGGGGGGGGTAGGGGGGAAATGCTAGAAAACTGAATTTACAGCTTAACTTTGTATGGTTATAAAGATAGTATTTACTCAGTGTGACCCCACCCCTCACACCTTCACCCTATTACTTTACAAGTTCCATAGCTCAGTGTGACCCCACCCCTCACACCTTCACCCTATTACTTTACAAGTTCCATAGCTTAGTGATCCACAGATTCACAGATAATAAAGCAGAATCAAAATGTGGAATTCATTCTATCATTTTCCAAGACTTGCTTATTTTAATCACTTTTAATTTAATTCACATGTATTGGGTGAATCACATACAAATTGCAAAATTGATTGTGCAAGTGATAATTATATATGTGTAACTTTCAAGGGAAAAAAAATATGGAAAACTTACCTTTGTTTATTAGGACTATGAAATGTTTTAGACTACCGGTAGTGGAATCTATTCTTTGTGGGACCTAGACTAAGCTAGGCTGCAAAACATGTCTCCAATGGTGTTTTATTGGAATCCAGCTGTGCATTTAATTAAGTCACAGTGAATGCAATTCAAAAGCTTAGACATTTTGTAGACTACGTTTCGTACTTTTACTTTCAAATATCTTTTGGATTGGATTAGATCGGATTACTTTAGTAAATAAATATATTGTTGTGTCATGTAAAATGAATAGATTATATTTCAGACTGCTATATAACATAAGATGAAGAGTACTTTTGACCATATATTTGAAATATTTTACCTAGTACTTTTACAATCAGTACTTATATAACAACTCTTTGTCCTATGTGATCTTGTACATGGTTACAAATTATATGTTTATTTGTTCTCTAACAAACCATTATTTTGAGGGAAGAAAATGTAATTACGGTAAACAGGTGTCTTTGGTACATTATCATTAAATCATGATTATGAAATCATATTGAACTATGTTTAGTTTTCCCTTTTATGAACTTCTATCTTTATGAAGGCAGATTTGATTTGTATTACATAAACAGATCGGTGATGAGGTATTTTAAGTTTAATTCAAAGTAGTTGTCAGAATGTGTGAACCATGATGTATTGAGAATGACTAACATTACACATATCATCCTCCTTCATGTACATGTAAGAATGATAACCATCATCACCATCGGTCATTATCATTACCACTATCATCATCACCATCACCATCACCATCACCACCACCACCACCACCACCACCACCAACATCATCACCACCACCATCAGCATCATCACCATCATCAGTCATTATAATCACCACCACCACCATCACTATCATCATCACTACCAACATCATCACCATCATCACCACAACATCAGCATGCACTGATTGTGCCCCTTGTGATGGTCTGAAATATTCTGATCCATTATTTGAAAACACTGATGCTACAAGCATGATCACAACATTGACAACAAACGCTTCAAAAAGATGCATTTTCTGTAGGAAAAATTCTCAAAAGTTTATTCCACCTCAAAACACTTGGAGGTAGACAAAAAACAAACAATAAATACAAGAAAAGAGAAAAATAACAACACAGAAACAAAATGGTGAGCAAATCATCTTCCAAAATCTACAAATTTCATTCTAATCACATCATAAAGTGACACCATTGTATCACATACTTCTAACACTGTACAGTGAGCTACTTGGCAACATCAATTGTGCATTCCATTAAGTTTCAATTCCAATCAACTTTCTCTTCTCTATGTCGAACAAGACTCGGTTCTTTCATTTACATTTTCAGTTTGGTTGATCATTTGACTACAGACAATTCTTTGTGATTCAACATTCTGTACAATCATCAAAGCCTCTTTGCAAAAGCTTTCACCATCAGATCTCCTTTCTGACCATCTTCTGTACACCAACTTCTTCAAATATACACTGTGCTAAATTTACACTGTACAATATAACACCATCCTTCATTTCATAACACCTTCCTTCATCTCTGTTTCTTTTTACTAGTATTCATACAACAGCATAAGCCGATTCCAAGCCTAAACTTTCCAGACTGTGTTGGAAAATGTACTTTGTTCTCTTATTTTTCCATGAAGCAATCTATAAGTAGCCTCTGTATTGACATTTCAAACTTCATTCTTGTGTACATGATATTCACACATTCTCAACTTTCTTAATTCCTCCAACAAAGAAAACTTTTTTAAAATTGAAAATCACAATTTCAACTCCTCTTTTGTTATGCTCCATCTCTTTTCCCTAGCCCTAGACAAAACTGTTCTCTTTAACAAACATTGCAGATTGAACCTGTGACTTCCAATTCATGAAATGAGGAATTCATCTCCCAAAGTGCTTAGTTTCAGACCACGATTTCTGTTCATCAAACTCCAATCCCATTGCTTTCTTTGTCACAAAGTAAATTTTACTCTGCATAACCTCTGACACCAATGGGGAAAACTGTTCACTGTTCTGCCAATGATGGTTTGAACATAGAAAAGGGCAACAAATTAAAACTCATAACTAAAAGAAACTACTTCATACTTCATAAACACATATCAAGCAAACAAAGAATTAACAAAACACTTAGATTGATGTTATGAATGGTCAACATTGATAACAAAATGTACTGAGAATAAGAAAAATGAAGAAAAACTAAAAACACATTGGAACAGAAACAGAAAGTCTGTTTCTATGCCATCCATCTACAAAAGAGGACTGATTATTTCACACTCACATTACAGAGATGATTGCATAATAGATGCTCCTTTTAGAAGATATCATATATTGAATTCACACACTATTCATTTCCATGGAGAAGTAGTAATCATTCAATAAAGCTACTAGGGTTTTTGCACATTTTATATAAAAACTAATTAATGATACATGGGTTATAAAACTAATACAAGTTTACGAAAAGATCACGCATTTGAAGTGAATCAATCACTTGTAAAGAGCTTGTGTATATTTCCATAATCTGTTTGAGAGACTACGACATAGAAAAATACATATCTTTCCCTTTTCTGCAAGCAAATTCTCAAGATTGAAATCATCAGCATTTCTCCCTTTACTGAATCCATATTGCCCACAGGTGAAGGAAGTTGATATGGACTTTATTCTTAAGAAAATTATGTTTGAAAAATATATGTATCATTATAACTCTGGGGCAGTGGATATTAGTTATTTCATATGTATCAAAATAGACTTTACCTAGAGAGGAAATCTAAGCACTTCCCTGTAACATACATATAAATGAAGCTCTCTTATTCTATTAAAATATTGTATACCGGTAGATGTATATGTCACACAGATTTGCATCAATATATTGTATCAGGTCAATGACGAAGAGTGTTTTTAAATTCCTAACTTTACCATCTACAATTAACTGACTAATAGTCAAGACTTAATGATGGAAAACAGTGCATATCTATTTTTTGCATTACTATCTTTCTATACATGTCACACTCCAGAATATCTGTATCATGAAGTGGTTTATATGAATCATTAGATATTTCATTCTACCAGTGTCACATGTACGCTTCACTCGTAATTATTGCACACACTTTGCCAAGTCGAGTGGATGAATGAACCCTAAATGATAAGATTCCTGCAATGATTGCTATGCCTCATGATTTAGAATTAAATGTTTCTCTCAGCAAGAGTTAAAGAAATCTAAGAAAATACTCACACTTTAAGTTCCCTAACTACAATCATCTCTAAATAAATAGACCTTTTCTAAAAGAATAGATTTTCTCGTATCATGTGAGGCTGTCTTTTTGTGGAGAAATAATTGCAATAGCTTTCACATCATTTCTACCATGTTTTCTAACGTATATATTGGGCTAAACTAAATTGGTTTAGAGAAACAAGAGCAGAGAGCCCTAGGCCATCTGTGACAAACCACAACCATGTTTTGAATTTCACTCAATATTTTTTCAGAGGTATGGCTCATTTATCTGTGATTACTGAAAATGTTCCTGGGGTGAAAAATAGTACCATTGCACTAACAAAATTTTGAAATTAAAATAAACCCTTGTTTAGTTTGACATCAATATACATGTATGGAAAAACAATTGTTTACAAAATCAGATCAGATAGAAAAGTTCTTCATGGGAAGAGACCTACACTATCATTTCAAATTAGATGACTGAGAATACACTAAACTAGTACAATACTACATGGATCACTACAATGTCATTCTTGGCAATTGACATAATAAAAATACAATTCCTATTCACACACATAGGGATGACAACAATTAAACAAAAATTCATGTTCTATTATACAAATCATACTACATCAAATGTAAAATTTACAATCACATATTTATTTTTCATTAGAACAAGTCTTCTCTAATCATGGGTATGCTTTGCAATGAAACAGGTTTTGTAATCTGAAAATATATTCTAAAAAGGACAAGTATTGAAACCTGCATGAGCCCGTAGCGGTTCCATGGTCTAACTCTATTATGCTTGATGTTATTTCACATGTATATGCTAAAGGAGGGAACTGATAAAACCGATTGTTTAGAAAGAAAAATAATAATCTGAAAAGAAAATACACAAATTCAGCAATTAATCTCCCAAACATCATTCTGATTAGTTTCTTCATATTTTCAACATTTTGTTGTTATCATTCATGCGCATAACTGCTCCTTCCGAAACCATTAAACAAATGAATTTCAATTGGCCTTTAAAAGAGTACGTGTTTACACTTTCCATAAGTTTAAAACCGCACATTTGAGCTCAAATTATCCCCAATGTCCTGGTACATATGGTTGATTTAGTGACACATTAAACCAGTTTAAATAGAATGGTGTGCATGTACAGTTACCTAGAGCAATAATCACAGCAAGAGTTAAACCATGGGGCTTGAAATTCATTATTATTTTGAGAATAAAACAATAAAATAAATCCATTCACTAAAGGAAACTTCAAAGCATCTTGTTCAAATACAGAAGACTCATTTCTAAAATGCCCTAATGTTTTTTTCCCCCAAAAGAGGACAAGTTCTTCATTTTGTTGATTTATATCTGATTGTCAGTATTTGTATCTGTAGTTCCACTGCAGTAGACATCTAACATGGCTGAGCAAATAAACGATTCATCCTCTATCACTAATTTCTAAAATCTATCATTCTTTCTACATTGAAACACAAAATCCCTGTACAAAAAGAAAATTGGAATGTTGCAGAAATATACATCATTAATCAACAAAAAATTACTTTTTGCAATTACCTACACAAATGAACATGAAATCAAACATAAAAGAAGCAGATGTTTACTCTAAAAGAACATGGTCATGCAGTAAGTAAATTTTGTAAACCCAGACATAAAAGTTTTGCATGCTACGTCATAAACATTGTGACAATGGTTTAAATCAATAAAACATAAATGAATAGTAACGTTCAGTGCACAACTCTCTATATCGGTGCAAAAAATAAGAATGAAATACAAAACCTGATTTTCTTCTGTTCTATCATGAAATGACCCTGTATGAATTCTTAATTTTGATTTGTTTTCTTTCAAAAGGTAAATTACAGTAATACCCAAAAAATATTTCTTAATGGAAATAATAAAAATGTCTCCATAGATGACAAATACATTTTCTGATTATTTTTTTCTACTTAAAGACCTATCAAGTAGATTTTCTGTTCTGCCTTCCATTATTCAGTCAAACAAAACTTATATCATAATACTAATAGCAAATCAGTTAAGACAACTGTAGCCATCAAAATCCCATTACAGCAAAAAGTTGTCCATATCACCAGCAAATATTTTGTATTCTGCAAAACAATACCATGAAACCATAATATAGGGATACAACCATAATATGCGGATCAAACAAATATGGGGGAAAAAGAGAGATCATAAAAGAAGATTTGGGAAGAGATTCAGTCCACAAATACTAACCGGTAGACAGTGAAACATATCTTCTACATACATGTATACATGTTGGAACACAGCTTGCATCGTTATAATGAAAACATGATAAACATGACTGAGACAGCACTTCAACCTAATATCGGCTTGTTACATAGTAACACACAGAAAGGCATTTCCAGTTGTGCAGCATTATATTAATACAAAGGAGGACACATTCATTACTTCTGTTTCGGTCTACGAACAGGGTTGGTCACACTCACGAACTGACGAGTAGAAAACATGGCAGCATTTCTTAATGGTTTCTTCTTGTTTATATATTGAAAAATCACACAACATAAATATTTTGCAGGTCAAGAACATAGTCATGATGGTAGTGTACTTGTTGGTGGAAAATAAGTTGATACATGCAGCAGAGAACTGTCTATAATGACATAAATGACGAGTTAGTGTCAGTGAAGTCATCACACTGTATTAGAAGAATTGGCAACATGAGGAAACTTGTTGCAGCTTTGCAGTCTAAACTGACACGAAATGATGAGTAGTAAGTAGTTCATCTAAACCACACACAATATACGTGCAAACATAGTGCCTGTACCATCCTATCAAAGGATATTGTGAAGATTAGAAGTTCACCTAAAAAACACACCATACAGATTTTATCATAATTTCATGAATCATACAGTCAGTGGATAATGTAGCCATGGCTCCCATGAAATAATATCAAGTTCATTAAAAAACATGAAAAACATGTTTTCAAGCACATTATAAAGTATATGAAGTTTCAGTGGGGATGACATGCCAGCTAGTAAAGAAGGGATGACTACAAGTTCATCGAGGGGAAGTTCCTGATGAGAAATATTCGTATTCATGATGGCAAAAACTATGAAACTTGTAGGTGTCATTTCTAAGCTTTTACTTCACATACCATAAATACATGTATGTGAAGATACTATCTAAAGCCTAGAAAAAGGCTGATGTTTACATACACGTATAGATCAAGATACATGGTATCCAATGACATTCCTAGAGCAAAGAATTACTTCCAACTTTCCCAAACATATAAAAAGTACAACTATTTGCATAAAAGCATCAATAGATACATGTAACTTGAAGGTTTACCATTTTCTTCTTCTAGTTTAAGAACATTTTTAAAAGAGAATGTTCTGGGAACATTGATATGATTTCACATGAACTGTAAGTGGTTTGCAGCTAGAGATATTTTGGTTATCAACACAAATGTGACACTTCTAATAACATTCAAAACACATACGAAAGAAGAAAACACCATCCACAAAACCTACACATATGAGGAATACTGGACCATTAAGTAAGGCATAGTTTATGATGAGAAGATAGTTACACTAAGAGTGAGACATTATCTAGTGGATGAGATTAGAACTCGATGACATATTTATCGAATTCTGACTCCTTTAAATTGATACGAGTGTATAGTGCACTTTATTGAGGTATTGACATTCATGCAACACTAACAAGGTATGTAGGTACTTATCACACAACATCATACACACTGTCTAGAAATTGCAACGTTACTTCTCAACAGTGTTTGCAGCACTTATGTTTCTGAATCCTCTTTGATTATCATGATAAAGAGAGAGACTAGTATGAGGAATGTATCAGAGCCCCTTCCTGCAGCCACCCCCAGCTTCGTAAAGTCTGGGTGTTCACAACAAATTACTTAAGTATAAAAAAGGGGTCTGCAGTGCATATCATAACAATTACACATTGTACTTAAACTAATGACATAGTTAAGAATTTGATTTTAATCACTAATGCATGGTTAAGCTGCAAATGTATGTTCTACAACACAGCATACTAAGGGGGGAAATCACGAAACTCTTATACGCACGCTTTCACCCATCAATACTGATATTGCCATACCTATCTCAATGTGAAATAAGTCTTCTTCAATAAAAGATCATAGAAGTCCCATTTACACAAATATTTGTATAATCTAATGGTATTGTGAGTCTTAAGTTTAGTGGCAATGATTAAGCTTTCATATATGACTGGTACAAGTAGAGTTTGAGAGTCTTGGTAGTGGTTTTGGTCACGGTGGTCATGATGATGGTATTGGTTACAATACCAGCAATGCCATGGTCGTTACCAATAGCAACCATCAAAAGGGAGATGATACAAGCAGGATACCAGATGAAAGATAAGTAATATCGCAAAATATTTGTGATATTTTAACGGTTATCATTTTCTAAATCATCAAATCTGCTAGAAGAAAAATGATAACAGTAAAACCACCCAAAGCTTAGGGATGTGGATGGGTTATTCTAAAACATCCCTGGATACTGGATAACGAAAACCTTCTCCAGATTAGAGCTACCGGTAGTTCTATCTTCTCTCATCTAACCATCTCCTTGTGTGCCCAACAGAAGGACATTAGCAGAGGAGTGCCTAATACACTCAAAACACAAATGTCCTTCTGACAGACACATAATAATCTTTGCAATATGTCAATGACCACCAGCCTACAAGACTCAAAAACTATACAGGACGTTGTATCCTTTATTTCCTTAATTTCTTATCCCCAATCAGAGAATAGTATGTACCTGTACACACATTAGCATGGAAGACCAGTTGGTATTTGCATGGCCTGCTTGATGTGTTATAAAAATGGCAGCATTTATGTAGCTTTGATTCTTTCAACTTTGCAGTAGTCCCATATCTCCCTGGTTACTTTTCATCAACTTACAGTGCATTCCCTGGAACTTAAATTCACACCTTTCAACAAATAGCAGGAGAAATATACATTGACTCTGATAATTCCATTGATTAGTGATGATGTTCATTTTCTTGACCTGCAGTAACTTGGATCAAACTGTTTCTTCACTTAACATTCTTTGGGACAGCCTTGTGTCATGGGTTAACTCATATACACAATCACATTCCATATAACATAACAAAAAAGAAAAAGAAAATTGATCTAGAGTAAAAATTCTCTAATACTAACACTAAATTTGTCTGAATAGCACAATTTACTATCGGGCAAATTGCTTTCTTTAGACACTACTTCCCAATTTTTCAGCAGCATATCTCTAGATCTGTTTGCAATCTAGACAATAACCAAAGAGCTGGCTGCTACATTTTTTTCTGACCGAATCATTTTTTTTTCCTTTCCAAGTGAACCTACATGTATTCTACAAATTACCAACATTTTGCACCAACATTTTACAAGTTATGAAAAGTATTTGTATGTTTTCCTGATTCATTAGAACATATGAGTATTCACTAATGTGCAAACAGAGCTTTGTATTCCAATCTTTCCACACAGGAGCATATCAGTTTTGCAGCAAATTTGAAATCTACACTTTGAATATGTCCCCAGAGGAGCGTGTTTACGAACTTGAACTTTGAGACCAATAATCTATATGTCATTACATTTTTCAGGAGCACTACCAAGTCTTTTCAAAACTCTGTTTTATCTCTCAGCTTTCTTCCGTAATCTTGACTCTGAAGAAGGCGAAGAAGACGTGGTGGTTGTACCTGAAGTTGATGCAGACGATGGCGATGACGAACATGGAGATGTGGACGTCATTGACATCGTCGGCTCTGTGGTGGTGGAGAGTATTGATGATGTTTTGGGGGGCAACTGTGGTGATGGTGGTCTTAGTGTTGGAGGTATTGGAGGTGATGGAGGCGATGCAGTACTCGTGGTTGGAAAGTCAGAGGAGCTACACTTGCTTGGTGCTGGCTCGGCTTCCGTCGATGTTGTTGCCGTTGTTGTTGCCGTTGTTGCATCTGTTGTTGCAGCTGTTGTTGCAGCTGTTGTTGCAGCTGTTGTTGTAGGGTGTGTTGCTGAAGGTGTGGCTTCGTCGGTATGGTTGCTGGGGCCTGTGGTCAGACCCTCAACAAGTTCCCTGAGTTGGCTCTATGAAAATACAAAACAACAAATGATATTATCTCCTTTGTATTTCTTACCACTTTATCCAAGCTTTGGGCTTTATAAATAACAAAGCTCATATTAATTAATCAGGAAGTGGAAACCACTTGATGAATAAAAATAAGTAGAAGTGGAGAAGTACATGTATCAAATAAATGGGCATGTACTACATGTAGGTGTTTTGTCGCTTGCTGTCCAATATGTTACCCCCAAAATAGAGAAATTGAAGCATGATTTATCATCATAATTATCAATTTCCTTTTTACTTGGTCTGACCTACAATGTAAGTAAGCTCTCCTAAGGCTGTCAAGTTGATAGAACCCTCTGGTATACTAAAAACTTTGATGATTTTGGTAAAGTATGGGATAATATACATTGGACTTGCCAAAATAGAGATACATCATTCCTTATGACAGGGACTTTGGGGGTTAAAAAGGAGTAGAGGTAGATGTATTTGTACAAGTATTAGTAGCTAGTCTAGTAAATGTAGTTATAGTAGCAGTAGAAGCAGCCATGATGCAAGACATAATAGTAATATTAATTTTTTAAATTTTTTATTTAGGTTTTATTTCCACATTAACTGCATATGAAAAGAATTTACAAAGTAAGGCATATACAAGGTAACAAAACATGTACATAATATTCGATAGATACAACAGTAAAAAAAACGATCTAATGGCAAATGATGCTAACAATAATCTGCAGTAATGGGGAGGAAACCTTGGAAGCATTATGCTTGTAATTAAGGTTCCCTTTACATAATAGTAGTATTAATGGTAGAATCACTCACTTCACTATATCTGTAGAGAAGTTTGAAGTTCCTTCCAGACATCTTAGTCTTTGTGATCATCTGGTAGGCATGGTGGAGGCAGTACACTCTATCTTCTCGCTCACTCACAACCTGCATCAAATATGACAAACACATTGATCAAAATCAAACCCAAATCTACACCACTGCAATAAAAAGTATTGCATACAAAAAGATATTTGATCACATGAAATGGAGTGGTAATTATCATCATTGTGTGACGGCCGCAGCCAAAAAGGATTTCTCTCTTTTATAGCTCTTGCCCTTTTGAATCCCGATTTAATGTCTTTCAACTCAAGATTAAGATTAAGGGCAATTATACGCATGAAGTTGTGGGGGCATTGGACCCTGTTTGGGCAAGGGAGCTTCCAGCAGAGATTTGATAGTTACATATAGATCATCTGAAATTGAAGATTTTCTTATTATTTAATTTAATCTGTTTGTTTGATTAAAACTCTTAAAATCATTATCAGGATATAAATGTAGATAAAGGAACGTTTCTATAAATCTACGGATCAACCTATTTAACCAGCCATCAACCTCTCGAGTATGATACAATATCTTTTCTGCATCACCCCATTACATCTCTGACCTTTGACCTTACCATTGACAGATAGCATGATTGCCGGCACACATGGCAGCCCTTGTCAGAGGCATACTGGTTCCTAGACTTGGCCCCAGCCTGCAAGGACTGGGCGTCTTCACACGTCTCAGAGTCCGCAAAGCATATGGAAGACTTGAGGCCAGCAGATGCCAGCTGGTGGCGAAGACTAAGCTCTCGATCTCTGCCAATTCAAAATCAAAGAAGAGTTTTATTGTTCTGACTGATTTTTTGGGGGGTGATTTTTACTAAGTCTATAAAAAGTTTGAGAAGGAAATAGGTTACAGTTATGGAATACATGTGGGTGTAATATGTTACAACCATGACACTTTAAAGTTCATGCCACAGACATAATTCCCAAATTGCAAATTGCAAAATACTAACAGAGTATAAGAAGTAGGAAAAAGAAGAGGAAAAGAAAGAAAAAAAAAGGTTGTCCAGCCAAATCTATAGTAACACTTACAGGAATAAATTGGATAAAATGCAAATAACAACCAATTGTGAAATATGTATCTTTGGAAATTACTGTTATATAAGATACTTCTTATCACAAATTTGTAATGAATTGCACCAAGTTCGGTGCTGTGACTTATTCAATTTGCAGCCAATAAACAATAAATAATATTGTGAATCTGTAAAAGGTTAGAAATCAGCAAAATATTTTTCCATTTCATGCAATAATGTCTGGTTTTTACAATACAATGTGCAATAAAGATATAATTACCTGATGTGCACAAGCTTCGTCTCGAGTTCCCTGAGGAGGTTTGGATTGGTCTTCAAATTGGCAGCATTTGTAGTGAGGACACACAAGAGATGTTCCACGGAGAAGAGAGTCGATTGCTTCAGCTCTTGACAAATCTACAAATGTGAACACATCCAACTTGTTATTTCTCATCATTACAGTCATCGCATGAATAAATATTCTTACAAACAGAATTCAAAACAAACGGAGCTACCAGTAAGACCCTGACCTTAAACTTCAAAATGTTACCACTCTATTATTTTTCATTTCATAACAGTGCAGGAATAGCAGTCGTGTAAACCAAATATGCCTGGAGAAAAGCCCAAACATGTTGGTCCTCATAAATTGTGTACAATATGACATGTGGAAAGGCATGAAGCAAACAGGTTACAAAGCCTGAAATGAGGCAACAACATAAAAAACCCGCATCCAAGCAAACGATGTGGAACTCACGCTAACTTGGTCTAAAATTTCTACAATTTCTACAATTTCTCATTTCTGTGAAGCTGGTCTACCTCAGGAAATAATCCAACTCTGAGAGTTTAAAAACCTAGTTTCTGCTAGAGTTACCAAAAAGGATATAGCTGAAATTTCGTATTTGGTACAGTAACTGTAATTGCTATACATTCAACGAGTAAAAGAAAGACTTCTCCAGAGTCCTGACCTCACCTCAAACCCTCTTAGACAGTGCTGGAGATTGTTTGCTGAGGCGAATGGAATACCCTCAGACATGCTGTAACCAGTACAGAAGTTAGCCTTGGCAGCACCGTGGGCTACAATGATGAACTCCCCTGGTTCCTGGACCAGACGGTAGACCGGCACACCCTTGCTGGCTAGTACTGACGGAGGGACCTAGAACAGAACACAAGACATATACAGTCAGACCATACCAAGTTACCATCTCATTTAAATAGTTACCCTGCCTCAGACGTGCTAAGGTGCTTCTGCTGATGAAGGCACCTCACAGACATGAAGGCACCTCACAGCAGCAGTAGAGAAGTTGTTTGGTACCAATGTCAGACTTTTGCACAATAAAACAATGCCTATAATGAAAAGAAAATTAATTAACAACCATGTCTTGGTGTCCCATTAGACACCATAGTTAATCTTGCTAATCTTGAGCTCTGGTATGGGAATCGTGTTTTGAGAGAAAAATTGTTATCCCCTGCATTAGATTTAAATAAAAACAAACACACAAACACTTACTGGGCATCATCTTCGATAAAAACATAAACATACTGTACGGAAAGTCATTTCTATGAAGATTTTGAGTGAATGACAATCGTTTTTCTCTTGGAAATGATTTACTTTGGGAACGCCCGCCAAAAAATTGAGCCGGTGTGAAGATAAACTGTCGTCATCTTTGTGACGTCACAAGGTGACAATGGCGATATAGCTTGGTACTCTAATGTCATAGACGTACACGCTGAGTGCATCGCTTCACGTTGACAGAGAGATATTATTTTGATGTTTTTTTCTTCGATATTTGCAGACATTTGTTTAAGTTTATATCATGGAGGATCCACACTCAGATTCATCTGATTCCAACAGTGAGCGTGAATTTGACGAATGATCTGGATCGGAGTCAGAATCGAGTTCTGTAGTTGACAGATCCCGAAGATGAAATTCCAAATGTGCGTCGGCAGCCAGTGATAGGGGTACAGCCCTACAGATTTGAGCCTCCAGCAATGAAGAAGACGATATTTTAACAGAAGACTCGGGAACAACGACTGGTTAGTTGGAACAGATTTGACAATGACTTTATAATAAAATGTGTCATTCACTCGTGGTAGCACTGAGTAAATCTAGCAGTTTGCACTAGCTCTCATTAGCGGATACGGCTGCATGCTGCAGCTAGCTGCGACCAGCATGTCCGGGGGGGAACAGCAGGCCGGCAGCCGGCACAGCGCTGATTTGGCTTCTACTAGTCACCTTGCGACGTCACCTTGTGACGTCATGACCCGATGAGCTCACGCTCCGCTATAAATAACTTTTTTACAAGTTTGGGGCGCCGAGGCCCAATAGACCCAAAATGATGCATGAAATTCACCTTTTTTACACCTACAGATTTTTTTTGAAAAATATATTGTGGTATATCTATATAGGTACATATTCAAAGTTATACACCTGAATTAAAGCAGGGATTTCACCCGACCCTTAAGACAAAGTTAGAATAAGCCTCCTACACAAACTCTGACCCACAGGTATTCTTGAGTGTTTTTTCAGTAAAAATTGAAATGGAGTGGCAGTTGTCTATAAAATATTATCTGGAGATTAAAGTGTAATAAGGTCTGATTCAAATTCTTAGAAATATCTTGATAGAATTACAAAAAGACCATGAATTCTGGGGGGTGTTTCACAAAACTTGTCATCAGTGACAAATGCCAGTTTCTGTTATAAGCGAGTGAAATCCTTGCTTCTGATTGGTTATCAGCAGATTTGTCACTGATTTTTGTCATTTGTCATTGAAAAAAGGCTTTGTGAAACACCCCCCAGGTGAGGTCTATAGCTTATGAGGGGTAGTACAATATTGACACCTACCATACAGTGTAGGTTGTTTCTATAGAGGCAGTGTTGTTGTTGATGTGTGCACTGGTCTGGCACATCAGATTGCAGCAGTTCTTCAAGTTTATTGCAATGGCTGGCTGGAACACTATACCTGGATAAAAAGAGAAAGAACAATGTTAAATCAAAGGCTGTTCTTTTGTCAATTACTAATAGACATATGTACATAGAGGAGGGTAAACATGTATATAAATAAGAGCCACACAATGATATGTTACATGATCGGTTTAATCTATGTACAGCCAGAGAGGCATTCACTCAGAGTTAAAGTAGAAGAGTTATCATATTCTAGCTCAACACAGATGATATCTTTCATAAAGCAGACAATGCAATCAGGACATTTCTTGACATGGAAACCTCACTGTTCAATCATATAGACTTCAAATTTCAAATGTGGCCGTCAAGGGAAACAATGTGTAAGTATGTGTAATCTTGGCAATCTTTAGAACATCCCTTAGACCCATACAGCATGGTTATCTTCATCAGTAGCATGTTCACACTGAAAAAATCTTACCGTATCTTAGCAGACACTCCATATTAGTATGTTACCGGTTACTTTCTGTCTATCAACAATCCGCCCAAACCCAGTCCTGTTTACACTACAATATTAACCCATTGCCTACGGGAGCCCGGTGGTTCCTGTATTAAGCCCATGGGAATGAGAGAATTCAGTTGTCAACTCTTGTCTGTTATACATGAAGTCCCTACAGTCTATGTCTATCTATAGACCATCCATCAAACCATCATGTCAGCCCATACAACACAGATATATTTACAATTAAAGCCTCCTTTTTTCTTTCTTTTTTTGCCGCCTGTAAGTTTAACAGGGAGGCTTTTTTGGAAAGTGTCAACAAATACACACATTTGATGAAAGATATATACAGATAACAACCAAAGGCATGTTTCCACACAGATTCTTACCATATCTTGGGGGACCCTGTATGTAAGTACTCTATCTGTGACAGTCCCTGACTATCTTTATATTGGGTATGTTTCCACTCAGATTCTTACCATATCTTGGGGGACCCTGTATGTAAGTACTCTATCTGTGACAGTCCCTGACTATCTTTATAATGGGTATGTTTCCACTCAGATTCTTACCATATCTTGGGGGACCCTGTATGTAAGTACTCTATCTGTGACATTCCCAGACTATCTTTATAATGAGCATGTTTCCACACTGATTCTTACCATATCTTGGGGGACCCTGTATGTAAGTACTCTATCTGTGACAGTCCCTGACTATCTTTATAATGGGTATGTTTCCACACAGATTCTTACCATATCTTGGGGGACCCTGTATGTAAGTACTCTATCTGTGACAGTCCCAGACTATCTTTATAATGGGTATGTTTCCACTCAGATTCATACCATATCTTGGGGGACCCTGTATGTAAGTACTCTATCTGTGACAGTCCCAGACTATCTTTATAATGGGCATGTTTCCACACAGATTCTTACCATATCTTGGGGGACCCTGTATGTAAGTACTCTATCTGTGACAGTCCCAGACTGTCTATTGCCCATCCTTCAGACCCAAATATCATGGCTATCTTCATCGTCGGCATGTTCACGCCAAGATGGCTGGGCAGCAAGTGGAGAATGTTGCTGGGATTCCTGCCAATCATCTTGCAGTTCCAGTTGTGTCTAGAATGGTAAGAAACAAAATAAATGGTTTAGAAGAAAGTTCGGAGGAGATGCAACAACATTAAGTAACAACCATCGTAAAACATGGAAGAAAAAAAATGAATAACATCAAATCAAATCATACATCCACATCTGCCAAGTCTATTTCACTTTTAAACCATTATTGATCTATTTTCAAACACTGCTGAACATGGTTTACTCACTGAAAATACAATGTGTTGCAAATTCATAACCACACCTATTACTCTATGTTCATGTGAGACATTTGTATCATTGAAGTGAAACTCTGTTTATGGCATTAGACATTTGTCATGTGTTATTTTTTCACTACGAATATAACAGGATATGAATTGGAATTGGAAAAACAAGAAAGAATTACATTTGATGTACAATTGTGTATTTTTAGATTTTTAGGCCTCTCGTGAGAGAGCTTGGTCTGTTGAATGATGACGAGTTTAATGTTCCATTTGACATCAGGAGAGGAGAGCAGCCCTCTTCAAATAATGGCTAAAACACATCGATTAGAAAGTGGAGTTTGTATACTATAATTTTAAACCATTTTCATCATTCATTGTTAGTAAGAAATAATATCACGGGGTACTTTTTATATCGAGAGACACAAATTACATGTACATGTATAAAATATGATTGATATTGATTACAAACAAGACAATTACAAAATTCACTTGAAGTTTCTTCTTCAAATATCTAAAGATTTAATATTCATTTATTTACTATTTTTAAAACAAATTTAACAAAACTATGTTAGTGATTTGGTAACCATGGTGATGGAAATGATGATGATGTTGATGATAAAATTGTAATTTACTATCACTCTAGACTTTATCTTCATACACACATGTATCTGCATGTTTCACAATTTTTCTTTACAACATTGAACAAACATGTGTATTTTGAAGAAAAAATATTCTTGTTGCATAAGGAATATCAATAAACAATGCTTCAATTTCTACTAAACTAAGACTAAAATTGATAGCAGCAGGCCAGGGTAGTGTAGCAGGTTAGGACATGAACATTAGTCAGTACAGCAGTTAGAGTTAGTGCTTTCTATTTTGCAATATCTCACAAAAATAAAATTGTTTGTATTTTGCATTGCAATACATCTAGTAGAAAATCACAATCAACAGCATTGTGAATATGATTAGATATTGCCTTAGCTTTGTTATCAAAATATAAAATTATATAAAACCTGAGCTAGATATACTACCACAAATCCAGGCAAAAAAGAAACCTACATTCATAATTTTAACAAATTCCTTTGCTGATGTAGATGATACAAGAACTAAAGTGCAAGTTTCATGTCCATGATATAGTTATACTTTATCCTTCATCATTAAAACAAAGAGTTTATACACAATTTTTAATACTGCGTATGAAAGCATTTATTTCGACATGTATTTATAGCTAAAATAAATTAGTATATGGGTGCACCTTCATCAAAATCATAGTCACTCATCTAGTAGTGAAAAATTAGAAATAAAATTTACAAGCTTTGTAGACTATTGTCAATGCAATGCCTCTTTCCTTTTCCCCCTTTCAATCCCTACACACTTACTTCATGTTCGACTTCCAAACAGGAAAGATGTGCTTATCAAAAGAAATTATGACGTCTCTAATATACTTCAGATAATTGAACTAAAATAGACGCCCTTAGGGTAAATATAACCTTTTTACAAGAGGGACAACAAACAATGGTATAGAGGAAACAAAATGTGTTTCACATTATCATACCATAGGCAAACTTAAAGGTAAAAAAAAAGTAACACAATCTTTCAATATATATTATGCAACTTGGGGAATTATTATTTGGCACATATGATCTTGTATTATCTGAAGAGAGGAGGGCAGAAATAACAAAATTAAAAAGGAAGACAAAAAGGAGGGAAATGGAGGATTAACAGAAAAGTAAATGTATGGTAGGAGCTATAGATGATTAAAACATGAACAGACTTTGATGAAATTAAAAAAAGTTAAAGGCCTTCAAATCAAAGTATACCCATCTGCAGTAGTCCCTCTCCCTGTTTTCCATCCCTTTTCTGAAGAAAAACAATCCTCAAACATTATTACACGACTCAAAGATGCTTGTACATACTCTTTTCCATGCCAGCGGTGTTAGTAAAGCAAGCTTGCAGTCATTAGCACTTATTTGTTAACAGTCCTTTTTAAAAGTGATTACTGTCTACTTATGCTATCCAGAAGCCTTAGTACATCAAGCTGTGTACATTTAATACATGCAATAAAAGCAAACACAATTTGCAATTTCATAATCATGACCAAAAGTGCAATTCCGTGCATTTTGAGGGATGCATGGTCTTATGGAAATCGTTTTTGTGGGGGATTTGGGGGACTTACTTTGCGTATGGATTGGCTCTATTAGTAGTAAATCCACTATAAGGGAGATCAAACACACAGTTTGGAGTTAATCAAAACTGCGCTAGTTACAATTAGACATTCATTGGGCTCAGGCAGGCAGGGAAAATCATTGGTTTCACCAACATTCTGCATATATCTATATTTAATTTTCACACATATTAGTCGACCACAACAATTAGATTATGTGGTGATTTAGGGTAACAGTGATAAAATGAAAATCTGGGCATTTTTCAAACTGTTAGCTTCATTGCTATAAGTTACAACAAAAATATCAGCTTCATATAAACGTTACAAATACAGCTCACTAATCACCTGGCTTCACAAATGCGCCATTGTACAGACATTTATTCTTATTAATTGAATGAAAGGTATGATGGAACTTGTGTGACATGAATAATATTTGGAAGAATACACTCTATAATATGGAAACAGCCTCTCTTTCCCCTTTCGTCTTCAGACTGAAAAACTGTAGTATAACCTAATCATGTTCTATGTTTTACCAGTAGCAGTGGAGCCTGCACAATACGAAGTTGTCTTAGTTATCAACAGAGCATGTTAAGAGTGTGGTAAGGTATTGTTAAGAAAGATTGCGTAATATTAACCTTGCAGTGAGCGTCGCATTGAGCTGGCCAGTGTGAACAGCTACATGTGGTTCACCTTTGTCTAACATCTTCCAGTAGTTATCCTGAGAAAAGAAATACAAAGAAGGAACATACAATTAAAACATAAAATTAAAACATTTAACTGTGTTTTGGGGGATTGTGTCTTTGATGATATTACACTATCATCCAGGAGGAAATTCCATGGTGATTGAAAATTTGACTTTCTTCACCGTCAAATGACCTGCAGTTTAAAATCAAAGGCCAGTGTAACAGGTCCACACTAAAGCTACATATCAAATATCTATCATTCACTTTAGCAAATGGACTCATTACAAAAGATAGCCCCCCCCCCCCCCCAAAAAAAAAAAAAAAAAAAAAAAAAGAGAAAGAGAGAGAGTCATACTGATCACATAGGTTTTTTACACGCTAATTTCAATTTTATAGGTTTTATTCCTGGACAATATTTTTCTGTTGTTTTCTGATCTTATCAATTTGTTAGTTTCATTCCAAATTGTAGGTAAATTTTATTTGACATATATAACAACCCCCCCCCCCCTCGAGAGTGTTCCGAGCATAACCCTAAATAAAAGAGCTTTGACTATTTAAAGACACTCACCTCTATGTTATCCAGCGGAGGGTTTGGCCTGGTATAGAGCATCTGCTGTGTAAGACTAGCCATACGGCTATACGTGGACAGTGTCGTAGGTCGACCCTTACACACGACCTCTTCACATCCATTCAACTCATGATCTTGTGATCTAAGCCTCGATGCTGCAAGAAAGATAATAGGAATGGAAATGTTTAGCAATGTGCTTCAGAAATAAATGGTATTTTGTCCAATGTGTTACTGACCATATCTACAATTTTGTTAAAGTGTATCTGATGAGTGAATCAAGTTGATAGCCCTCCTAGAGATTGGATAAGACTGTAAATGAAGTTACAGAATACCTCTGATGTCAACTTATATTTGCAACTCCACAATACTTGGTGATGTATGGGACACAAAAAGGCTAAAACACCTTGGAGTGCCTTTAAAAATCATAAAGCACCATTTATATACCTAGAGGATTTAGGAAATTATATCTTTCAAATACATGATATACAGATATTGTGAAATGAATTCATTTTTAAATAGTCTATAAATACTGTGCCATATGCTGATTTTCTCTCAGTATTTTCTTCAAAGTAATGTTTTCATTACAGGTCTCAGTCATTTGAATACATAGAAGGTGCAGAAGTTACATACACTTCTCAAGCTTTTACTGCAACTCCACCATACCCTCATATTACGTGTGTGTCTCAGAGAAACAAGTGTTGATCTATCTAGAACTATCTCAAGGCTTTATAAACAAAGGAACAAATCTGGCCGATCAACAATTTCCTTTCAGGAGAAGCACACAATAGCGTTTACTTTCTACTCCTGGTGCAGACCTGCCCATAGCTAGCTAAATCCCAATAAGTAGAAAATACATTTGTTTATGGGCCACTTGCATTCATTTGTTAAAAATCTTTTTAAAAGATATAAAAAAAAAACTTCACTAAATTATTTAAAGGGAATTCAGATCAAAATTAAAAAATCAAAATAATAAATCCTTGAACTCACCACCTTGCTGTTTTCTGAGCAATTCTGTCTCCATTTCCAGCCTCTGTTTATCTTCCTGAAAGGAGAAATGAAGTATATGCAGAAGTGTAATATACTCTTCATTAAAAGAATAAGTCTATGAGGAACAAGCCAAGATATATATGATGTGATTTCCAACCGGTGTCTTGGCTCAGTCAGTAGAGCGTCCGCCTCACAACCGGGAGGTCGTGGGTTCGAACCCCGGCCGCGTCATACCAAAAGATGTTAAAAGACGGGAGTTGCTGCTACCTTGTTTGGAGTTCAACAATAAGGGATAGAGCAATGTCGATCTTGCGCTGATCAGTGGCTGCCGGGCTCACGATCAATTGGGCAAAAAGAATTTCCATTTTCGGTTTAACTTAATAACTCCAAATTTTATTATTATTATTATTATTATTATTATTATTATATATCACTGATTTTCTAATTAATTTGTTCATTAAAAACATGTTATGGGGTCTACATTACATTTGGAGTTTAGATTTCATTTAATTGATTATGTATTTTGAAAATAGTGCATTATGAATAAGGAAACTTACCTTTGAAAGATTATCAAAACTGAGAAGAAACTTGCAGTAGATACTATCCAATTTCACTCTGCTCTGAAGCTGTAAAATAGAAGAGAAAAAAAATATTCAGATTGTAAACAATTGATATCCAAAGAATCAATCCCTATCCACATTTGATTTTCTCCTCTATCTCAAACTTTATAACCCACAACAGATTTCATAAACATATTCATATAGTCTTTAGTATTTGCCCGAGTATCAAATGGCATGTCTTTAAACAATCAGCTAGGTTGACAAGAGCAGCCTTGCGTATGTCAACACAGCTGATTGTAAGGAAAGCCATCATGCACAAATTTACAGCTGCTTCAAGCAGAACTATGAGTGCAAAAGTAGCAAATTTTGAAAACGACATTGCCTCACAAAAATAGCCATAGAATCAAGATGCCTTATCCAAAATCTTGGTCTCATTTTACTCAGAAAAGAACTTTCTACTAATTAAAAACAAACAAAAAATGTGTCAATAATATAGTTAAAATTGATAAGATTTCAGTTGTTGCGTTCTAAACAATATGTGATATCCTTTAAAGTTGAGCTTTTGTAACCTCAGATATCGGGACTGCAATGATACCTTAAGATACAAGTATGATTAAAGACTTACTGCTTTGGGGATGTGAAGCAGGTCTGCAACTTTATTCCATCTCTTGTTATTGGTGATGGTCTTAAGGCCACCCTGCTGTGCTACGACTTGAGAGAACTCTACCAGGTCTATCTCATAGCCAGATATCTGATGGAAAAACAGCATGAGAAGGATTGTATGGGACTAGTCACATTATTTTCAATCTTCATAACAGGTAACAACTTAATCATACTCCTTGTTAATTTGTTTGTTTTTTGTTTTCATGTAAATCAAGAACAAAAGATTTATCAGTTAAAATTAGGGCCTTTGTTGAATATTTTTAGATGTAAGCTAATACGTCATAATCTCAAGAACCTTAAATCGGGTCAAATCAATTTTTCATATACAAAAAAGTTACAAAACCTGGTAAGAGTCTGAATAATTTAGAAGCAATACAATGCGATTGTCTGTGTCATCGTTACAGATATCTGCCAAGTCATAAAATGGATGAAAAATGTATGTTTTACACATGAAGCTTTTTGCAACTTCTACACATGAATTATAATCTGACATTCTCTTCTCTTCTCTTCGTCATTCTTGTTTGAAGTGTCTTATGTCATGTGGTTATGATGTTTCCATACAGCTTTCCCTCATGTATCCTAAATGTCACACACATGTTTGATTAATTACCTTCCAAGCCTAAGCATCGAGTCACTGGTTGAGGTAGGTGTAACATGAATGAACTTATCTCTCATATCAGCACAAGCATGAACATGAATGAAATTTGTTTCGTCTGGTTTTAATTTAAAATATGTTGCTCCTACACTTCATACCATGATACCATCTAACATCGTCTCAGAGAAAATTGAGTCTGAAGTTTCATTTTTGAAAAGTATAAAATCGTTGCTAACTTGTTTTGGCAGCAAACCAATTTTTTCCCTTTTAATGAAAAGAACTATTTAACATTTTGATAGAGTCTCATAATTAATTGAATTCTTCCTTCAATTGATCTTAAATGAAAGAAAAAGTAAGAGAAAAATGCTGAGTTTTTAGTAAAGGAAAGTAAACGAATATTTCCAATAGAATTTTATTCATATCACAGAACAGAGAAATCCCCAAATATATCAACATAATGGTAAAAGAAATTAAAAAGAAAATCCATAAGACTTTCACTACTATTACTAATTTACCAAATATATCAATTAGTAGGCGGTTTCGCTGCAAAATTTGTATGATCAAGTATTAGTCAAAACATATTCTTTCACATGATTGGTAATAAGAGCTTCCATTTCATTTTTTGAGAGGGGGGCGTTTCCAAAACTAGTCTTTACCTATACAAAAAATCTTCTCCCCTGGTTTGATGAATATTTGCTTATTTTCTTACCTGAGGAGGATAGTAGGCTACTTTCTCTCTCTCTTCCAAATGCCTCTTGATACATGCTAATTGCTTGCTTCTTGACTTCCATCTGAAAACAAAGAAATGAATTGTTTAACCTTGATAGTATGAACACTGCAGTTCAGCTAGATAATGAAGAGAGTTGTGTTAAACTGATGTCCTATTCTAAGCCATCGTTAAGTTCAATGTTTCATCTTGCGTTACAATACAATGACATCTTGTTGAATTTGCATATACATTTCCATGGCAAATATTTTCCTGTTTTAAGACATTTCATCAGAAATGCCTTCTTAAACTGAGATGTAAATTTATCATCTAGAATTCCTTGAAAAAGTCTGAAGTAAAGTAGCAGAAAATTGAACATCAGTGTAGTTGGTCCAGGTGGTAATATTATAGAATCATTCAAATTTAAGATGCAAAATATTGTATCACTAAAGTTCATCATATTTATTGAAGTACAACAATAACATTAATTTTAATGAAAATTAGTTGTATATGTGCATAGTTCCGCAACTTACCATTTGAGTTTGGGGGATTTTCTTTCCAAATCACAAATGGCAATAACTTCTATTTCATTGTCTTTCCGTCCATGATTGCATTTACTTGATCTGGTACACATCAAATCCATTAATCCAGTTATATTGTTGCTATATCAACACAACACATTGGTGTATGCAGATTATTAGAGTGTAGAAACAATCAAACAATAGGCTTACCTGTGCATTAATCTGTGAATATACTGCACTTCTGTGGTGAACCTTGTGTTGGCATGAAGCTTGCATTCAGGCTTGACATAGAGAAAGGAAGGAGAAACAAGGGTATACCCATCAATTGTGTTTGCACTGTCTACAAGTCAATCATAGTCATGAGACTTTGGTTAGTCATCCGTGAATGAGCTTCAATCATCTGGAAATTGTTTGTGATTTTTCAATTCGTATTTGATACTTGCCTACAGACTATTGTTGATGAGAGAGAAGATCGAGTCACAAAATTTTCCCTTGAATTGTTTGATTGGATACTTTTTTGTAAGGTTTGCAGGCTAAATGTCTATGGCAAAAATACACAGACAATGAGTACACCAAACTCAACCAATCTATGAAATGTATTTCTGCACCAGATACCAATCTCACTATCTTCTGCTAAAGCCCCACTGCACTACTTATAGCTACTTGCGGCCCTCTATATAGCAAACAATGCCTGATCAATGCCTGTTGGTCCCCCATTATCCCCTTTTTCCTATGTTAATTGAGAGCTGATTTGATGAGATAACCACCTGTCAGTGACCTTGCAGGGAGGTCTAATCTCCCTGGCCAAACTAGTGCAGACAGGCTTTGAGGGTCAGAAGGACATTGTCTTTGAGTTGAAGGCTGTGTGTCTTAGTGCCCTCAGAGGACATTAGGTTTGTAGGACGTACTTACCTTCCAGCCATCAGGTGGAATAACCCTGCACATTCCATAGTCATTGAGCTGATCAGCGATGGACTCCATGTATGCCATCGGATCACTCCACTCTTCTACGCTGGGTCTCAGCACCAGTCCCTCCTTCACACCCTCAATGAATCTGGAAGGTCCAGACTTTACCGGGACCTCCTCTTTGGAACTCTTGAGTGGAGCCAGTCCATTCTTGGTCTTGGCCCGGTTACGCCTTGGAGACTGTCCCTGAGCCTTCTTCTGCAGCTTCTGCAGCGTTGTCTCCGATGTGACCTTTGGTGGCAACAGTTCTTTGTGGTTTTTGAGAAGCGGGTTCCTGATTTTGTTTGGCCTTGCTGCAAGACAGTCCTCTTCCTCTCCGTCTTCCTTGATCTTTAGTTCGGTTAATTTCTTCTCAATTTCGTGATTGAGATGGGCCTTTGGACAGATCATACTGTCCTTCCTGAGAACATTATTATTAAGTGTGCAGTTGGTGAGAGGTATGGTGAGCTTCTTGCTAATCCCATTTGTTGACAGGATGTTGTTTATCGCGTCAGCCTTATCCACGACGGGGTCATCAAGCTCCACTTCTGCAGCCTGTACCCTGTCTCGGAGCATCATAGAACTGTTTCTGAGTTTCCTAGAACCACGCCTTTTCAGATCTTTGAGTTTCTTCTGCCTCTTTGCTGTCTTTAGCACTTCCTCAATGGCACCCTCGAAGGCCAAATCCCTATCACCATTCTTATGCCTTGACCGTGTCCTTTGGGAACAATTCTGTGAATGACAGGAGCATTTCTTCTCCTTGCGCTCTCTTCTGGATCCTTTCAGAAGCTTGATTTGACTCAGAAGGGTATGACCATTAGTAGCACCATCAAGTTTATCAAGAAGGTGATTTGACCCATTGATGACTTCACCTGAACATCTTTCATTCTTCAGTCTCGGTGATATCCTTGAGTTTCTGTCACTGTTTTTGTGGTTGTTCTTTTGGGTCACTCTCCTCTGACCACTGTTCTTTGCTTTTGAGGTAGCGATGATGGGGCTTTGGTCCTCTTGTATGTTTTTGTCTAGTCTATGATTAACGATGTTGTTCTTTGAAGGCACACAGTTTCTACTAGAGGATCTTCCTGAGGATCTGGTCAAGTTGGTTCTGACAGACGACTTCCTCCCAGCCATCTGGGCAGCATTCCTGCTAGAGAGGTGATTGTTTGTCTGGCAGCGTTTGTTCTCCCAGGGTACGATGGGGATCAGTGGGGGTGGATGCCTGCTGCGCTGGACTGCCAGGATAGGTGGAGGCACTGGAGATAGACTGGGCGGTAACCGCTGAGGACCGTTGCCAAGAATGTTGTTTTGGTTGGACTTGAAGGAGTTCCGAAGATTCTTATTCAATTTGCCAGAAGCCTGGATAAAAAATAAAAAGTAGTAAGAATTGTGCTCAATAAACTTCCCATAATCATAGATAAATAACCTGGAAATGCCTATTTATATACATGTTGTCTCTGAATACTCTATCACTTCATTCCACAGGGAAAAAAATACACGGGCTCGGGGCGATTTAGCCCCCGAAAGTCATAAAAAGCTCCCCAAAATTTGCATAGAGTTCAATGCAAAACAAATTAAAGAGTGTTATTTTCATGCAAGCAAGCTTGAAAAATATCCCTCAAAATTTGTTAGGTATTTTTTTCCATGTCATTCCAGTGTCTCCTATAGAAAGCACATGACAAATTACCAAGTGGATATCGAAAACCCTCGTGTCATCTCTAGAAAAAAAATTATGCATGTCCTTCTTTAACAAATAAAATGTAAAACGTCATTTTCTCTATCTTATAGACCCCTAAAGTTCATAACAACAAGGACTGCTCTTATCTCACCTTGAAATGCATGGCATCGAGTCTGAGCCTCCTATTCTTGATGTTCATCTTCTGTTGCAGGAGAGTGCCTGATGCCATGGCCGCTGTCTTAGCTTGTCTTGGAGGAGAGACCTTGGTGCCCTTGGGCGGGGTTGGAGTGGGAGTAGAAGGGGCAGGGTCCTCTCTAGGAAGGGGCTCGATGCCTGGTATGTTGATGTCGTTGTCGCTTCGCAAGGTGCTGGAGGCACTCCTCTTGCGGCCAGCCAGTTGCTTTGGCATGGACTGCAAAAGGTTTAGTATAGGTTTACTTTGCACGTTGAACAGATCCAAACTGGGAGGTAGAGCTGGCGTGCCTATATAGGAAATAAAACAAATTGTTAGAAAGTAAAACATTGATTTATGCAGCACTTAACCCCCTTGCATTTTTTCCTACCCCTCCCCTTTCCCTCCTGTATTCCCCATCCTCCAAACTATCTCCCACCACACAATATTGTTCTCACATCCAAAATTTATATACTGCTCTTATCTGATGAGTGGAGAACAAATAGTGTGTAAGCAAAGTTCTGCAAGCAATATAATTCACTCCATATATTTCTGCTTTGGATGTATCAACAATTTCTTTTGCTCCAACATTTACATTACACAACAAATGTTAAGTCAATCAGCTGTCAATTAGCTGCACTGTTTAGAAAAAAGAATCAATGATTCTTACAAAGTATGCATTCTACTTGGCTTCTGACAATGTTTGCAAACAATATGTCTGTTTGGAGCGGAAAAGATGTCAAGTCCTTGTAAAATGATATGAGTTAATGCCCTTCTCGCTTCAAGCAGACAAATTTAAATGTGACATAAAAATAGGTCCTGCCTGCCTGGTTGAAACACTATCTTTCATATCTAATTGAATAATTGTTTTCACTTCCGACTATCAAAATTGGAGAAAATGTGTCATAGTCACAATCACTTGGAACACAACAATTCTGGTGTTTTGAAACTCGGTTCAGAGCATCGACTCATCCAATGTAGCCTTGAAAGTGTAACAAGATCTTGAACGATTTGGCATAGTGTGTTGATAACTGTTTTTAATTGTTACCATGGAAATGTTAGTCACTAGATGGACATAGACAGCTCTGCTCGAGTGATTCATAAAACGACCCCTGTCTTTAGTTTGATGTACAATCTGCAAAGTCATTCAACTTTCTATGTGAAGATGGATGGAGGATGATAATACATCATGTAGTAGGTACACTGTATATACCCTGCATGAATCACAAAAAGCATATTTTCAATATTGAAGATGAAACACAATCTTTTCACTTTCTTCCCCTTTTGTGAAAGTTCACTTCGTTTGAACTTTGAAGGACAAAGCTATTACTTTCGTCAAGCTTTTAGAGGTAACTTCTGACCATTTTATCTACTTCCATATTCCATGAACATCCTTCCATGAACATCCAGCAGGGAAAATTTGTGACGATGCTTTATTTAAATTCAAGAAATATCTTAAACAAAGCTCTGGTAGACAATAGATGATGCCTGTGTATGCTAAACAATGACAGGGATCCAATACTAGAATATGAATCAACTTCCAATCCAGGATAGAGGAAATGAATTCCAATTTTAGAAATAACAGTGTAAGGTGTCCTTTGTGAAAGGGAATGTTCACACTTCTGAGGCCGATTACGTTTGATTTCTTGCCGACCGTGACTCCCATCCTGTCTCCCAAGCAAAGGGTGCGTCCAGACTATCAACTGCAGTTACAATATGACGTACATTCATGAGCACAGTTCACACTTCCACATAGTCCAAGGGTACCTCGCATAGAAACGATGCCACTGAACACGATGAAGGCATCATGAAACTTTACAAGAACAGTAAGGTGTGAACAGGAGCAGTCATCACATAATTATCAGAGCATGCATGGTGGCAGTGAGAACGCAGTCTCTCTCTCTCTCTCTCCCACTCATGTGGGCTGAGGTATATAGTGTTTCCTGAGCTTGGTTACACGCCAGGAGAGTGAGTATCAGTGTTACAGAGAGGGATTCCCCCTTCAAGCCAGAAGTTGTGCTTAGCTGAGAGTCTCAAGTGGTGGCTGGCTCAAACTTTCAATCACGATATCTGTCTACCCACCCAAGTTCATCTTGTCATCTATGCAAGGTGTCGAGGAGGAATATCGTGGGCGATACTCCCTCCTAATATTGCAATCCATAAAGGACTACCACTGATCAGTGTAATTCTGACTAACCCCAAAATGTCCTTTCTGTATTTCATGTATTTACAGGTATCAGAATACCAGTGAAAATGATAAATGATACTTGATCATGGAAATCTTCAGATTTTGTACTATTCAGAATCTCAAATGTCTAATCTACCCCAGCTATGACTGACTTCTAGGCTCCACTGTATCCAGAATACCTGATGCTTGACAGGAGCTTCCAGTGAAAGCAGTAGATGACCAAATACAGGATGGTATGCCGGTCTCAAAATGCAACATGAACACTGATCCCATCCTTATATCAACCCAGCATTATGAATGCGACCTGTATCTCAGAAGCTCAGAAGTGAACAACACAAGAGCACTGTGATGATATGATAGACCCTAGTCAGGACGAAACACTTGCATTAAAAAGGCACATGAACAAATAGACTGAATGCTTACAAAAGTTGATTTATGCAAGACATGAATACACTCATTCTACAGTGATCAGCTGACAAATATTTGAGTTCAATTCAGAAGTTTGATTCACACTCAAATGCTTGTTACGATGCCAATATCTTGTAGTAGAATAGTCCTTCAGGCAGTTGGTCTCCCGGAGGACGTCAACTTGATGCCCTTCAGAGGCCTGAATGGTGTTTCATTTATCAAATCAATGTTGACAGGTTATCCAGGCAAGTCATTCCCTTGTATCTAAGGCAACCGCAGGGCCGCAGAGCTGCAGTTTGTTGCTGTGGTGAGAGAACCGGCACCATCACTGTGAAAGTAGTCTTCCAGGGATCCTCAGACTTCCTGATGTTCTGTCATCACTTAACTCACTGTCAAGAGTTCAGAGCTCATACTTTGCTGGTTATCATGTGTACCACTATGACTATCATCTTTACACCAACTATTCTGGTATGTTTGTACAAGGAACGATAGAGAAATGTTGCATATTCTCTACTTGTATGATCATGATGGTACATCTGTATAATTTCATTTAATGGTTATTTGAGTAATACAGCACGTGGATGGTACCAGCTTCTTTGTTATTCCCATTCCCTTCTTAGCAAGACTGAATGTTCTTGAATATTACCTTGTACAGTATGTGTTTTGTATCGTGTGGAATACAACTATTCATCCCACAGAATACCTTTTATCTTTCTTTCTTTCCTTTTTTGTTGTTGTTCTTTGTTTCGATAAACGTTAGCTTTACTTCAGCTATTTTTACATAAATGTATGTGCGATTGATAAAAAATTATATTTCCAGGGATGACGAGACTGGATCTTAATAGGCCTATCTTCATCAGCTCGAGATTGCCAAATAACCCGCTATTTTAACTATCTTGAATGCAAATTATCTAACTAATTTGCGTCTTCATCAGCCCGCAGTTGCAATTAGCGGGATAATTGGTCGAGATAATCATCCAAAGAAATCTTGGTCTTGTTTCCCAAATAGCGGGCTAATTTGCGCCCGTCTCCATCTAGTTTGTGATGAGCATATCGGTCTGGTGAAAACGCAATTTCAAGCTTCAGGAAAATATTGAGAGTCTGAAAATAGCAGGCTTTTTGGCAATCTCGGTCTGATGAGGACATACCTGATCAGACTGAATGGCTTACCTCTGAGACACAGGAATGTTAAGAAGTCTTCAGTAGAAGGGCAGTGGTTGAAGATGCTGCAGGATTTAGAAGGGTTCATCATGTCTCCATTCTTCATCTTAGATGGGGTGCAGCCCGGACTGTAGGCCTGGGGGTAGGCAAACTTGCGCTGGGCTTGGACCTTGGCCCTGCAAAGGTAGCAGTAATGGTGGATAGAATATGGACAGGAGGAAAGAAAGAAGGAAAAAGGAAAAGGGGAAGAAGCATGGGAGGAAGGATAGATGGTAGGTGAAAGGCAAATAACAAGAGATTGAAAGAAAAGGAAAATTTAGAATATGAATAATAGAAAAGAGAGGGGGAGAGTAGGAGGACAAAAAGAATTGTTAATGATCAACATCAAGACAAACTTCATGTTTCAATATGGATGCATTCATGATAATGTAAATCTTTGGGGGAAAAACAAGTCAATTAAGAGTTGCAAAAGTAATTATTATGTAAAGTGCATCCATTAGGTAAGAAACAAAATTATATGACTTCTTAGCAGACCCTTCAAGAAGATAAGTAGGACTAAGAGCACCACAAAAAAGCAGATTATTATTTTGAAAGGCTTTGAGTATGTCCCTTGATGATGTGATAATTGGTCATAAGTACATCATAATGACCATTTTCTTGATTGAGACTGTCAAGAAACAATGAATGGCTTCCCAGATTAAGGATGTGATCTTGAGACAGATCTTGAAAGCAAGTTTCAATCATCACATTTCATTGTCAGTAAGATGCCATAAACAATATAACATCTCCCTAAAGGTATAGATAGCATCTCAATTTACAGTACAGTGTCATTGCTATTGCTACATGTGCTTTCAAAGCAAAGAGACTGAAAATTGATTGAAATTAAACCAGATCAAGTCAGGTCAGAGTTACAAAATACTCTGTGGACATAAACACACATTGACAGACTTGTACTAATTCACTATAAAGCAGGGCAGCAAGTAGACCATTGCTGAAATCTGTTTATAAGTTCAATACTTGATTTACATGTCCTTGACATGCATTTGTAAACAAAAAACATCAAGGTTTACAAGCACCATCATGTAACTCGAGACTAGCCTGGCGTATAATTCATACTCGGTGTATGTGTTAATGTTAACTAACCCTGGGTAGTACACTGATATTTCACATAGGCATACATGAACTCCAGAATCAGTTAATATTAATATCTGAGATGAGGACGGGGCATTATTGGGCATTGTGGGGCGGGGGCGGGGGAGGGGGGGAGGGCTCATTTTTATTTTCTCTAGACTTCAAATGCTCCTCCTAATAGAGATATAGACAAGCTGCTAATTTGGGCTCATCCAATGGAGAAGAATCACCCTAAATTGAAACCCATTAGATAGGAAAGGCTGGTGATGAGGACAGAATCGGGCCGACAGAAGCTTGAGTGTTGATATCTTTCCTATTGATTTCACTACATGTATCCAGACTTGTTTACATGAACTCTGATAAGTAGGTCAATCACCCTGCAAATCAACAATCTAGGTCACTTGGGTCATATCCTGGACTCAGGAAGTAAGGGCACAGTCACAGAATACAAGAGACCCTTTTTAGGGAAGTAAGTTTCAAACTCTTCAGATACTGCTTGATGAAAACAAGCTCTAGTTCGCTTTTTCATAAAATTGACCAGTCAAATAGAAAAAAAGTAAGTCTTTAACCATGATCATTAACATATATACAAGATTTCCTCGGTTAAGAAGAGAAACTCCAGACTCCATTTTGACTACCAGTATTTAGCCAATATATTTTGATAAGGGGGAAACATATCCCAACCTCATCCCAACCCCACCCCCCCCCCCACACACACACATACCACACTTTCCTTCCTAAAGTGGATTATCTCAAATAGGGGGGGGGGGGGCAAAACTACTAAATTTACAGGATAGACATACATGTACATACAAGTATCATTACATAAATGACAATCTTTTTTACTAAAACGACAGGAATGAAATTTCCATGCTACAAATTAATGTACTGCTCTTTTCTTTATCACCAACACCAGATGTTAGAGAGAAGATAAACAACTCGGGTCTTGTCTGCAACAAAGTTAAATTATGAGTGCAAAATGCTTAAAATAGCCATAAAGGAGATATTTCATCGAGATGATCCCCTGGACCCTGCATAAACACTGTCAATATTGATTTGATTGAAGTCCATTATGCACAGCTTTGGAAACAAATAAGACAGCAATTTCCTGTTTAGTCATGTGCAGTTCTACATCTTGCTGTGGTCTGTTCTGTATGCAGTATGAATAGTCTAGTGATTGGTGTATCAATCCTGAATTATTTTTGATGAGGCAAAAATGCATGAGACTCAATCACCAAATGTAATTACTTTACTTTCTCATCATGGAAAAATAGGATTAAGATTAGAGCTGTATTCATAGACATATTTCCATAAGTGTTTAACCTAGAAAACTAGGCTGTGAGGATTTAAAGGGAAGTCCAGCAGCTCTTCCCTGGGTTGTAAAAGTTGTATCATCTGCATACTTGAGATTGTGCCTTCTCTGTTTCTCCAATTTTCACCCCCTCCTTCAAAACCTTCAGTCACAGTTCATATTACATCTTCTGAGTAATATTGAATAGGTTTGGAGGCGATGTGCTATTTTACCCTCAAAAAGAATGTTCCTTATCAGATTGCTCACTTGCCACATTTCAAGGAGTTGACAGCATACTGGGTATTTTTTTGTTGAAAAAGTAGTGCATATTTCTAGTGTAAACACCACCATTCACATATGACAGGCATAGAAGTTTGTGACACAAGAAATTATCAGTCTGCCATTACACAGCTGCTAGCTCAGATATCCTTTAGACAAGCATACGGGAGTCAGTGAAGTGTATGGTGTTCCATATGAAACATTGCACACTTCTTATACCCCATTCACAGTGGTTTTGAAATTTGTAGCGGCGTTGTAGCGGAGCGGCGACACCGCCATAACACCGCTACAAATGCATTCACAGTAGAAAAGTTATCCCGCTGCAGCAGCGGGATAAATATCATGTACCCATTCACGCTGCAGCGGGTGATTTTTATTACCTCCGTAACAAACACGTGTATGCATGGCTCATGACCCGCGAGTGACCCCGATATGACCGGAAATACTTCAGCGCGGGGTTTTCGATTGCTTGAAATTGCGCGCGCTAGCTGTACTTTACACACTCTTCCTCATGTAGCTAGCTCGATTTAGCTATGGATCTATCTATACTTTTACGGAAAAACGATGAGGCAAACTTGCAAAAGGTAAACATGTCAAGTTGCTTTTTGTATCCTCGATCATATTACTTTTTAAAAAACTAGCATTTTTATTGCTTCCAGTCAGAATATTTTAATTTTTTGAAGTGTGAAATATTTTTATTTGGATAATTATAATATCTACATAATAATAAAATCAATTTGAATCCACTGGTTACTTTATTTCTATTTCACTTTATGTTCCCCATTGCTGGAGAAAAGAGGTCAGTGATAGGTAAGTAAACAAATCACACGTGTTTGTCGCGGTGTTATAGCGGAGAGCCTTCACACTGAGTAAACACCGCGACAGCAGCGGGACTGTCCCGCTGCTGTAGCTAGGCGAACCTAGCGATAGTTTGTCGCGGCGTTATCGCGAGGCGGTGTTATCCCGCGATAGTTTATAACGGGTCCGAGCCTTCACACTGAAGACAACACCGCGACAGCAGCGGGACAGTCCCGCTGCTGTCGCGGTGTTTGAGGCCACTGTGAATGGGGTATTTGTGTAAATTTGTAAACACTGTTGCTTATATAAGACAGCCATGAAAGTATGTGACATAAGGGGTCACCAGTCTGCCATGATACAGCTGCTAGGTCAGATAATCCTCAGGTAATCATTTTTTTTTAAAGCAATGAACATCTTTGCAGGGTATCCAATGTGAAATACCTCACCACATATAGTGTAAACAGTGCCATTCACACATGATAGCCGTGCAAGTATGTGACACAAGGGGTCACCAGTCTGCCATGGTACAGCTGCTAGGTCAGATAATCCTCAGGTAATCACTTTTTAAAAAGCGATGAACATCCTTGCAGGGTATTCAATGTGAAATACCTCACTACATATAGTGTAAACAGTGCCATTCACACATGATAGCTATGGAAGTATGTGACACAAGGGGTCACCAGTATGCCATGATACAGCTGCTAGGTCAGATAATCCTCAGGTAATCCTTTTTTTAAAAATGGACATCCATACAGTGAAATACCTCACCACATATAGTGTAAACAGTGCCATTTACACATGATAGATTTGGAAGTATGTGACACAAGGGTTCACCAGTCTGCCATGATACAGCTGCTAGGTCAGATAATCCTCAGGTAATCTTTTTTTTTAGCAATGGACATCCATACAGTGAAATACTTTACCACATATAGTGTAAACAGTGCAGTTCACACATGATAGACGTGCAAGTATGTGACACACGGGTTTATCAGTCTGCCATGATACAGCTTGAACTTTCTCCTGGGGTCAAATCATCAGTGGGGGTGAAGTATGGCTTAGTCCTTCCAGACTGCGTTTATCAACAACCCAATACAAAAGGGTCGATGCACTTACTGACTTAATGTTGCGCACTTGATATAATAGCAATCGTGAAGAATGAAAATGTTCCATTTTTTTGAAAACCTAATGGATCATTGCTAGCAGACTGCTGGCTGTCTCAAGTCAGTTTGAGTAATGTAAATAAGCGCAGCATAATAACACTGGTGTTGCGAAGAATATACATGAACATAAATTTCCAAGTTCCCACTTCATTGAGACAGATCAAATTCTGATAATATTCAGCTCATTGTAAATGGTTTTAATGTTAGTAAGACTTGATAATGCTAATGATGACATCACTATATTCATTTATCTATCATTTATCTGCATCATCCATTTAAGAATTATTGCATTATTTATTCTTATTTACAAAAATGGGGATAACATCAAGATAGAAAATATATCAAATAATTGTGTACAGTTATTTAGTCAGGGCTATCTTTGTACAAAATTCGTAGAGAGACATTCCACCATCCACTGATTAATTTTTCTTGTGTGAAGCTTCTCGGATGGCCTAGGTCATGCCTTTCTCTCTCAGGGGAAATCATTGCATGTAGTGTTAAGTGAAAAACCAGGGGATTTCCCCTTACATCACAATCAATCTCCTATCTATCCTAGCTGATAGGGGGCACATTCAGGCTACATCGTCACAACATAAATTACACGTTCATGAAGACAGCACATTTTCAGGCCAGGTTTTAATGACTGCATAACCACATGCCACAATTTCCTGAGTAGATTGCGTGATATGCACACATCGGATTTGCAAGGAGTAACAAAGTCCTATCTCAATTCAGATATTGGAAAATGATCACACATTTTGATGACTCAATAGCTACATGTACACTGTTTATAATAAGGAATCAATCTTTCTTTTTTGAAGGTCATAGGGTGAATATCATATCATGAATTCAATATAGTAGAAAAGTTGATGAGGTATAGTTTTGAATTAGAGGCTTGAATTATGGCTTGAATTATTCTTGAAATATCATGAGAACAAAATGCCTGTACTCGTGTGTCATTTGATCTTTATGAACTTTGACCTATAACCTGAAAATTTGAATATTAATTTGGTCATAAAGATGTGTGTAGTTTATACCTCAAGTGGTTCCAGAGATATCGCAAGAACAAGAAAGCAGGATGGACTGACAGACAGACAACCCAAATACATAATTCCTCTGGCACCACCTTCGTATGCGGAGGCATACATGTAAAAACACAATATCTTTACGTTGATTGCTTTTCGTAAGTGCATACAATAAACCTGAGTAGATATCACTTTTCTGAGAACTAATGCTTTTCATGAATTTTTCATTTGCCTAGAGGCTATCAAATAGAGTAATCCCATTGCAATGATTTACAGAAACCTGAAAAGGTCTTGCATTAACAATATTGGATTCTTCACCTTTTACATTTACCTGAAGGTTGTCATATAAAGTGAATCCACTTCATATAAACATATCAAACCCTCACAGGAAGAGATTATATGAATGGATTTAATAGCAGCTTACCTGTCAACTGTCAAGCAAGCCCTAATCATTCCACTTATGAATAAGTAATACGTTAAGTCAATTCTGCAATTCCCACATCATTGACGTCAACCATGGAAGTGTTTCAGAGAAGTTTAATAGAGGAAGTTATCTTCTGAATGCAAACCAGAGTTGCACACTTGTTTTTGTAATTCAAACTTCTCCCTAGCATATTGACATTTGTTGTGATTATCATACTAAATATGAAGTAGATAGAGGCATTAGTATTTCTCTCTTATTCTACTTTCTTTCAAGAGGCTATGCTGGTAAATAGCATAGGGAGATTTTCAAATTAAGATATGAAATTGAGTCCTCTTGCATAGAAAACTTAATAAACAGGGAAAAAATGTCCAGAAGGAAAAGCTGGAGTTGATTTCTCAGCAGCCATCAAAAGTGATAAATGCATGCTTAAGGTTTATATTAAAAAGTGTTGAGAACATTTCATCAATATTGTCCTATCATTGGAAAGTACAAGCTGGATAAGTGCGTGAATAAGGCTTTCAGAACCTTGGTGGTGGAGGCGTATAAACTGAAACTGAAACAAGACGACTGTTCAGAAAAAGTGGCATTTTTTGTTGAACCCTGACCGATGTCCAAATAACAGGACTTCACTTGGAGACTACTAAGAAAGGAAATCCTGTGGAGCTCCTGAACACCTGAAGTTGATTTCTCCCCAGGTTTACCCCCCTCCTATGTAACCCTATACCTGTTCACACCTGACCAAACAATCTGTTCATAGACTCTCTCTGACCCCGTGTCCACACACATTTTCCGTGATTAGGCGTGATTAGTTATACCGTTTCGGGATAGTTATATAATGAAATTGTGTGTGTGGACGCTTACTAACGATACGTCGTATAACGAAACGTTGTATAACGAAACGCAGGTTTGGGCATCGTTTCGAACTAAAACTCAATAACTAATCACGCCTAATCACGGAATGTGTTGTGTGTGGACGTAACTAGTATAACTAGTCGAACTAGAGCGGTATAACTGGGCGGGGCTTAACGTGACCTTGTGTGAAAGGAGACCCGACCTCTCATTTTCGCTTCCATTCCATGGCCGCAGTAGCAAACTGCGCACCTATACGACTTTCGCTATGATTTTGTGATTACTTTCTTGTGTGTGTGGACACCCTGGCATTTATACAATGATTCTTTATACAACCTTTCGTTATAGAGTTTCGGGATAAATTGTTTTGTGTGTGGACACGCTATTACTCTCTGTCTTAAGACTGTCATGAGAATGGATCCCTGGTTAAATCTAGGCCAATAATATACGTGAATGGACAATGAGAGTCTTCAAAGAATAGCCAGAGAATACATCCTGCGTTTGTTTCATTTTCTCTCAGGTAGTGCTAATTCTGTTCACATTCAGGATAATCTCCTAACTTCTCTCCTTTGAGATATTTTGGTATGAAGTGCCCCTCCGTCTAACCATGGTCTGTGTTCACACTTAGACTATTCTAATTCCACATGAAAATCCTTGCATTCATGAGATGGGGGTGGGGGGGGGGTATATAATATAAAAATAGAAAATTTACGGTCAAGTTACTAATTTTGGACTGCTTCTTTAATTGAAAGTTATTTCTGGTCAATTCACAGAGGATTGAAAAAATTAGGTCAATTTCCAATAAGTACAAAATATAGTAAAATCGCATTTGAAATACACCCCATAGATGGCATGGATGGCATAGAGCTACAGTGTACCCTGTGAAAACTTGAGAAAAGTAATTATATTCTGCAAGATATTCAAGCTTAATCACATATTTGGAAACAAATGCTGATTGTACATGCCGTGTAAGCCTATAGCCCTTAATCAAATCCTGTACACAAAACACACACATCTGAATCAAATTATCATGGCTTCTATCCTCCTTCATACCAGCAAATATCCCTTGATCTTCAAATTACTCAATGAAAAGCACATGTGCATGGAGAAATTGAGTCGAGAGTAAAAAGAAAAACAAAATGAAGAAAAAAAGATGAAATCCAATAGTTACTTCACACCTTAATTTGATTTCTCACTGGGTTAACCCCCCCCCCCTCCCCCCCTTCACCACCAACCCCCACCAACCCCCTTTCTGGGTAGGCATAACCCTATTCACATGTGGTCAAAGCAAGAAGCAAACACAAAATGTAGATCATTGACCGCCTGCAGATAATTATTACTTTCCTGTAAATGTGCAATTTTAATTTGCATACCCCATTATCTAGTTAAGCAGCATCCAACGATACCATGAAAAGTTACCAAGTTTACCATCCAAACAATTTTTACACCCATTTCTGGATTGAATGGACGAGTGAGGGGTGACAACTTTTCTTGAAAATACTTTAAAACAGCATCTCTTGCCAGTGCTAACAAGCACTGACATGGTAAGGGTCATCTACAGGGCACAGGCTTCCATCCCATCCTATCCCATGCCTGACTCACTGTTTCCTCTCAAGCTCAGATGATAGGCCTCAAGCAATTGACGCTATAGGTCACTTCAATCTTTCTTTCAAAATCTCACTTTACTAACCAACAAATTTTAACGGCATTGGTTTGTGCTGTGTGTTTAAAAAGCTTGGCAAAATGTTATCAATCTACATGAACACATGCACATCAATGGTCATTTGCAAGTGGGAAGAAATCAGTGAACTGCTGAATTTTGTCTAAATTCTGAAGGAATAATTGCTCATGATGAGACCAATTCATTATGGTATTAACAGCGATATAAACAGCAAAGGGACATTTCCAACTTTGGCAGCTCATTATGAAACTGCATTTCTGAGAATGGAAGATTTGAACTTAATGTTACACTCAGCTTTCCAGTAGATTTATCTTTATACATTTCTGTACACGTACCACAACAAATTTTTTCTTCTAGTTTACATCTTATCACTTTGAAAGACTGATTAGTAATGAAAGGTTTACCCACAACACGCTTTCCTCTCTTGATTTGTGAGCTACTCATCATTTTTACGACTTGCGGTGATAGATTACTCTCAACCGTCCTATAGGTAATTAATCCCTCTAAGTACATGGTTTCACACCATCTTCAAGTAGAGATATTAGGGCGATATTGCTCCTCCCCATAATGGAAAATTAGAACTTCCTTCATCATCCATGGCAGACACAATGTTCTGAAAAGTCACTACTCAATAGCTCAAGGTTAATTATAATAATTTAGTAACGCTTTCTTGCCAATAATTGATTTATTTCACAAAAGATCTCAGGATATGTTTATTTTTCATAACTACATGTTTTAATCATCATTTTATCTGTGGTTGATCATTAGTTTCACTTTCAGCAATTATCTGTGTTTTTCTGACCAAAACATTATATCATTTCCACCACAAAAGATTCATGGTTCTTTTGGCAGATTGAAATCTGAAGTGCATGCAAATTGTCACAAGAGTATGAAAGTGACTTAGTGAGCAAGGAGAAATCCTTTCTATGAACATACTTGTATATAAAGTGAATTTAGAGTATCAAGTCTGGTTAATGAATGATGTGTTGCACAGCATTATGCAGGTAATATTGACAACCACAAGCACATGTAGCTACAGTAATATATCAATACTAACATTGGTTAGAACGAGATCTGGGCTAATCCCCCCCCTCCCCTCTTCATCCGAAAGAAATGCGTTCATGTTGGACAAGATATGTTTGGAGACAACTTAGTAGCTTCAAATGTTCCTTACTTATTTCAATGACGACACAACATCTTTCCGCTAACCAACAACCAACTTATCTGCTTTCCTACCATATGTATTGTCCTCTTTTGCTGTTGGACCAGCAAACCTATTACTCCATCACAAAATGTCATTATCAATAGAAGAAAATCATGAGAAGAATTCTTACTTTTTAGGTTTTGATCCCTTGGTGTCAGTCTCTTCTCCAGAAGTTGATGAGACTGTGGTGGCTTTACTCTTCCTCTTTGCAACCTGTCTCTCCTTTGCCTTCCTAACCGTGGGTCGTCTAGTCACCGATGATGTGGACGATGTTGACTTAGTCTCATCTTGACTATCAGTATTTGATGACGCTGAGGAAGTGTTTTGGCTTCTGGTACTTCGACGTGTGGTTGGACCCGTCACAGGTTCCGCCTGAGGCATCTTAAACTTGCTCCTACTACGTAGGTCCCGGCGTAGACTTCGCAGGGGCCGCTTGGGTATGGAGTTCAGTTTGGGGCTTTTGCCATGCACGCTAGGCACTCGTTTGGCTTTTGCAGAGCTTCTCTCTCTGCTGACAGCAAAGCACTTCTTTTCTGTGCGTTTAGTGGAGGATTGTTTCAAGGGGACTGCAGCATTTGATTTGTGTTTCTTTGGAGGAAGCAGTGGTGGTGGCAGTAGTGGTGGTGGAAGGAAATCACCTGAATTCTTACTTTCATCTGAACAAGCCTTGTTCACTGCATTGGATTCTGTGGTCTGTTTCCTCTCTTGAGATCTTGAAGGTCGGCCCAGAACACTTCCCATAGCACTCCCTGAATTGACTAACGCAGATGCTCTGAGGCGATGAGCAATACTTTCAGAGGATTCCTTAGAAACTTCCTTAGGTTTTAGCCCTAGCAGCCTTGGGCTACTAGCTTTAGGAGAGCGAGACCTGGTGACTACAGGCTTTGGTAACTCTGGTTTTGATGTCTTTGTAGAAACTAATTTAGACCTAGAAATCTTGGAAGATTCAAATTGTCCAGGTAGCACTTTCTTCTTGTGAGATCGTTTTGTTTCTACCGACTCTTTTGACTTGGACAAACCTTTGGGCTTTGACGGCCTCTCAACCTTTAGAGATTTCTTTGATTTTGATGAGTCTTTCACTGTTGAAGGCTCCTTCCTTTTTGGTGAAGGTTTGTGTTTTGCTGGGTCTCTAGGCTTTGGGGGTCTCTGTTTCACAGGACGTTGCTCAGGTTGGGAATTAACTATTGTAGAATTTAAATCATGAAATTCTTCTGTTGCTTGAATGTCTGTGTGTTCAGGGTCAGTTATATTTAGAGGTTCTTTAGAGTGTTCGATGTCCACTAAAGCATGGTTCACTACAGTGTGATTGACAACAGGGTGGGCTAGAACCGAGTGTTCTACAACAGGATGGTCTACAGCTGAATGGTCTACAACAGAATTCTCTACAACTTCAATGCTTCTCTGCTGCTCAGTGATATCTGTCAGTCTTTGGGGTTCATTTAGAAGGAGGGGTTCTGCCTCTCTGGCTGTAGATGGAGATTCCACAAACTGTTGCTCTGCACCTACATGTAGCTGTAAATCAGGTAAGTCCAAAAGGATTCTGTTGACTTGACTCTCAGGTTCCTTGCTCTCTAGCTCTGGGTTCTCATGTTGCAGTAGTTCATCGGAGACATCCTGTTCTGATCTAGGTCTCTGCAGGGAAGCATACAGGGCTCGGGTTAGCTCCCTTTCTTCTTGCCAGAGGAGGCCTTCGCCATTAAATTCCTACAAGGTGGAAATAGAACAAACACAAGAAGGTAGATGTTAGTGCATTTTGTAGGAGAAATATGCGAGAACCCTGAATAAATGATAGGTACAATAAAATGACAGCAATAATGAACAAAACATTTGATTTATTAATAATAAAAGCATTCAGCTACATATCAAAACCTTCAACTACTGCCTAAATGGTGCACCAAATAAACAAAACATACATAAATAATTTTTATTGTTGAGAAATGTTAATGTATTAACATGATGAACCTTTACAATGCATTGAGATTCAGGAAAATGACCATGAACTGAATAAGTACTACATGCATGCATGTACATGTCTACATGGGTCAGACTAGATTTTAAAAGAGTGGGGCAATATAAAGGTATATTTTTTTTTTTTTTTTTTTTTTTTTTTTTTTTTTTTTTTTTTTTTTTTTTATTTTTTTTTATTCGACAAGCTTCCAATATACAACAATATACAATAATAACAGATCAAAAATAAGTCAGCTTGAACAGGATAACCCACGAAAGCTCGAGAGCTTATTTCCAGTGGGGTCCCTTACAGACATGTATACAATTAATAAATTAAAATAGTAATATTTACAGACAGATAAGAAAATTAAAAGAACTACTTATTAAAGATAATAATAACAACATTAAACTGATGATAGAAATGATATTAAGTACAAGAAGAAAAAGAAGAAGGAGAAGAAGAAAAAGAGGAGAAGGAAGAAGAGGAAAATAATGATGAATTTGTAGAATTTCTATAACGTACGAAAACATAAGTATATACAACATGAAAAAGTATGAACCGACAGAAGAATAACAATTTCAATCATATAACATGTCATTCACTTCTCTTCTCTGACTGTCAAGTATTAGGTATTCCTTTAATTTCCTCTTAAAATGATCATAGTTTCCTATTTCTTTTACACCATTGGGAAGGGAATTCCAATGTTTTATGGCATTGTAATAAAACGAATTTCCAATACTACCTACTCTTTCTGGTAAGTTAAAGTTGAATCGTCTATTTCTTGTATTATAATCATGTACGTCAGTAACAAGATCGAAGTTGGATCGAATATAATGATTCGCCCTAGTATTAGGATCATAATATAATGATTCGCCCTAGTATTTGGATCATTCCATTAAACTATGTCATTTCTAAGATGAACTAAAATGCAGACCTTGTCTTCCACATTGTCTTTCCATGTTTCTAGTTTCAATTCATAATTTTTTACATTGCCTTCTTGTCTGAAGGGAATGCCTAGACAGGGGACAAGGCATAGTGTACCCATGTATCTTTGCACATGTTATACATTGCTTCAATACTGGCAGCATAGCCTTTGGACAGTATTCCTGCTGTTGCTTAGCAACCAAAGAAAATGCTTGGGTCAATTTACTCTAGCGATGATGATGTCAATAAAAAGAATATCTCTTTAACTTTAATGCTGAGAGTCTGTGACACTGATTTGTAGCGAGGAAAATCTTCAGAATTTAAGGTATTCGTTTTTACTACAGATACATTTTACTTGCAACATGAACTGATATTGCTTGAAAAGAAGAAAAAAAAGGAAAAAATGAATTGATTGAGACTCAACGATTCCACTGATACTTTATTAGTAGGCAATACAGCTTTGAGGTGAGCCAATGCTACACGTTAAGAAACACTCTTCAATATCATGGAATAAACAAGGACCTGTAGGCTACGTGGAAGTGAGTCTAACATTGAGATTCAAGGGTCGTAAAGAGACATCAAGGTCTCAGGATGAAGATCACACTACACTTCATATTCTACAAAGTAGAGGGGAACATTCACCACAGGTATCACTATCGCCATGGAAACCATCAATTATTCTACTTCTGAGTGATTCAATTGCTCTAAATGTCGCATATCAATATGGCCAAGCTGCCTCCTAAATACATTCAAATAGAGAGGTTTACAGAAAATGGGTAAGACTTGGGTAAAAATACATTTTTTATTTGCTCAAGGTGTAACAATGTTAGTGTACCTATTTTGAACATTGCTCAGGTATATCAGGCACATTTCCTAATTAAAGTGTACAGACTCTCTAATACACATATCCAATAAATGACACAAAACAAATATATTCTGAAATCAAATCTGTTGTTTCAAATCTAAAATTATACTTTGCTCATTTCAACTACCCTTGAGCCATAAAGCATCAACTCTTCCATATCATAAAAGATCTCATCAATTCCCAGATTTGACAGACCATGTCAATGCTACAGATTGCATCTGCTGCTACAAGCACTAGAAACAGACGCAACTAGGCACAACTTCCATCATAAATAGATGCAGAAACTGATTACTAATACAGCCAAAGGCATAACGCCAGCCATAGCAACAACAAAAAGAGACCACCATCTAATTTTGTTTCTTCTATTTTGACCAGGAGAACAACCCTTCTGTGCAGCCCATCTGTAAGCACATTTATGACTGCAAATCAATTGTCTATTTGCCTCACAGTTCATGTTTGCGATAGAGATAAAGGTCATAGACAGACAACTGATATCTGAAGATGCTTCCAAATTGATCCTTGTTTCAAAGAGCCCTTTCCCTCATTCCTCTCTAAATAACCCAGCAGACAAAAAAAGAAAATACTTCTTGGGCTGTTAACGCTACTGTGTTTTGATTGTCAGAAGCACTTTACATCCCACTCTTTCTCCCTCTCTCGCTCTCTCTCTCTATATCAAGTCATAAACTTCAGATGCACTTTAAAGACACAGATCAAGCTTGATGCGGCCCGAAACTACATGACATTTTGTTGGCCAAATTAGCTCCAGGTTTTATTTTGTCGCAGATACAGGATTAAGGTTGCAAACTTGCTATGGGGTTTGTGTTAGGTTTAGGAATTATACGAGCTTGGGCAAGAACAAAGGTAGAAGTTAGGAATCAAGCATGGATAAATGGTTGTCGAAGCATGTGACATTTAAAGAATTGACCTATCATATTACCACTAGATAAACAACAAAAGATGAAACAAATGATGAAATTAGACAAATTATCAAGGAAGTTGCGACGAGAAACAGCTGCCTTATAGCTAGGATAAACAATTGTCATTTGGTAAGCAAATTAGTTTAAATTGGTTTAAATTGATTTCATGAATTACTTTCCCATACGATGCAAACAGACAGAATGGTTGGCATCATTCATAGAGGGTAAATTCAATTTGTCAACGTACATTGGCTGCAGTCTCAAAGTGATACATGTACAACATTCATGTACATACAGTCATGTACAACATTCATGTACATGCAGTCATGTACAACAAACAGGTACAGTCATGTAGTCATGTACTAGCGTGTTGGCATATTTTGGTATTAGAATATGCAGTCGTGTTCAGAAATAGAATTAACCAATGATGCTTGCTAAATGAAGCAACATTCGCCTCTCACCAATTGTAGCATACTCTTGAGGGAAAAGAAAAAGATCTCTTTAATAGGAGTGGAGTGGAATCGAAGTAAGGTAATATTGATTTTAGCATTTGCATAAAATCGTGCATTACTCTTTTAATAAATGTAAACTAATATCATTCACACAACAGAGTCATATATTTGCCATATAATAGAAGATATTGCATCGATTGTGTTCTGTTATTTTGTGCATGCATCAAAAACAAACGGTGAATAACAGAGAATGCCAATTCAATTCTTGGAACCTTTGCTAACCCTGTTATAGACCCTATAATGTACACAGAAAGTATAGTATGAATAGACATGCATGGCATGATACATTATTTTAGTAGAACAACAATGAAATCTCTTATTTGCTCTCTTTTGTCACCATCCTTCATGTGCTTACATAGCAAACATTATAGAGACTGAACTTGTGCCATCATGTAAAAATCATGTTTAGCCTCATCTTTCTACCATTCAAACTGAAAACTCAGCAAAATCCTTTTTATTCAATTTTATTTATTTTGTTATATATATATATATACATTTTTTTTTTTTTTTTTTTTTTGGGGGGGGGGGGGTGGGGGGGGGTGGGGCTAAATATATATTTTTCTATAAATACCTCTCATCCTTAACAGGATGTCAAAACACTCTTGGAATAGATGCATTGAGAATTAGTCAAAGGAAAGCTTTAATAGCATTTTTGAGTATTTCTTGTACAATGGTGTCACGGCATTGACAGATGTCTGAGAGTATGGCTAAGGTACTACAAACAACCCTTTCACATTAAACACAATGGCAGATATGATAGATGGGCTGCTGAGAAACAAACTTGAGTATAACAAAAACAGAGATTGGAGTAAATTGTATTCATACATATTTCATTGGCTTGACAATGATTCGTTTGGTAATGATTTTATAACTGCTTTGTTGTTGAAGCATACAGAAGTAATATACGGGTATGATGTCCTACTTCAGCACATTACGTGATCAGTAAAAAAAGAACAATGATATATCCTGTAAATATTGAATGGTTTATTTTCATAATTCATCAAATAAGAATATTCTTGTATGATTATTAGCTACATACAAGTACATCATACATGTACGTTGGCAGTGAATAAGCATGTAGAGAGAAATAGCAGCTGTTCTATAAGAACAAATTGAAATTTTCTCTGAAGTCTTCTATATGTTCATCAAACTCACTGCATTTACTACGTCACTAACCACACCCTCAACAAAGAAGCTTCTTCATAGAGATGCATTTCTTACCACATAAGACTAATTGTTTGGAATCTCTGTGGTTTGCTTATTGGTCTTCACTATACCAGAGCCTCTATGGACACACAGATAAGCACAGAGAGCAAACTACGGGTGCCTCAAAATGGAAAACGAAAGTTTGCAGTTCCCAATGTGGTCAATACAGATATGTTTGGAATTTCTTTCTTCTTTCTTGGACAAAAGAACATGGATGGGACTGGAAAGATGTGGCTTGGCCATATCCCTCCTTCGACCACATTATGACCAAAAATATTTACTTTCTCAGATTTGAGTAAAATTACTTGAACCTTATAGTACAATTGTAGGCT